TCCCACGCCTCGCGCGACGCGTCGACGCGTCGCCTGTCCCGCTCGTTCCCCGGCGGCTGCACCTCCCCGGGGGTGTTTTTGCTCTCCTGCAGTAGATAGAAGTTGATGTATATTACCAAAATGCGTGTTACTACGGATAATGTACTCAAAAAATCGTTCTATGTCGTCAGTTTAGCCCCCAAGAGCCGGGGAGGCATCCTGCAAGCGGAAAAGCACTCATTTTACCGCATAAGTGCTCGAAAGCGCGGCATAAGCAGCATAAGCGTTTATTTCGGTGGATTTACGCCGATTTACAGGATTTACGGCCACGTGATGCGTGGATTTACGGGCACGTCACGCCCTCCGTACAATCACATCAAGCCGCCGCCGCTTCGCGCGGCGTTCCCGAGCGCTTCTCCCCATCAAACCCCGAGAGCTTTGGCGCCCTTGTCGGGATATTCATTTCGGGACCCCAGGACGCGTGGCGAATAATTAGAACGCGTCTGACGCGTTGAGGACCCATGTGCTCCTCGTCAAATAGCATTATTTCTCATATATAGAGCCTCTGTATCTAGTAAGAATGATTATGTACAGTATACTGCTTGTATTCACCATGAATCTGACACCCCTCGGGACCTTGCAATGCGGTGGGACTACAATCTTCGCGCTGTACCCGCTACCTTGGGCCATCAGCCACCGTTGACCCCGGGTCACGGCAGGGTCGATTTACGTGGATTTACAGTACCTCATGTAAACTAAGCCAAATAACTATACTTATTCCTCCATAATCGACATGTTGACAATTTGTAACCAAGTACGGTCTATGCATAGAATCCCCCAGTACGGTTGGCGGTTGCAAAAGCTCTGAGTTGTTCACTAGCTTCCTGAGGAAAGAGTAGGTACTGGGCGTCCCCTCGAAGTTTAGAGTTCCTCCGGGCTTAGCCACGTCACCGCTCCTTTGCTACGTTGGCCAACGGAGTCACTCCGGCCAAACTGCGGTCACTGACCCCTCTGAGTCTGCTCTCATTCGTCCTGAGTGATCGTGGGCTGGCAAGTCACCCAACCCCGGTATTCCATTGCCACAAGGGCGCGACCAGCTCGACAACGGTTGAAAATGAATGGAGAAACAATCCAAATTTATGGAGAGGACTGCCATTGCGTAAGATAAAACTCAGACACAAAGCTCTAACATTTAACGGTTCCTATGATCCAGGATGATATGCGATTTCTTCCATCCTAATGTGGGGGGTGTGGAGAGTCACATCTATATGCTTAGCGCGAACCTAATTACTAGAGGCCATAAGGTTACCAGACTGGGTATTGCCGTACCTTGCCCAATACTCACCTCTGTGTCCAGGTCATTGTGATAACCCATAGCCACCCTCCAGACCGGGTCGGTATCCGCTGGCTATCACCTGGCCTAAAAGTATATTACATCCCATTCCCCACCATAGCCTCATCGGCGACGCTCCCCAACTTCTTCACCTTTCTACCTTATTTCCGGACCATTATTCTCAGGGAACATATTACTTTGATTCACGCACACGCCAGTCTATCATCACTCGCCCACGAAGGGATCCTACATAGCCATCTGCTTGGCGTCCGAACAGTCTTCACTGATCACAGTCTCTTCGGCTTCGACGATGCTGCCAGTATCCTGACTAACAAACTCGTGGAAGCAGCACTGCGTAATGTCGATGCTGTTATATGTGTTTCCCATACCGGGTATCATCCTTCCTTCAGGTTCCTCCACTTATGTACTGAGAAGGGGTTTGGTGCGCAGGAGAGAGAATACTGTCCTCCGGGCTCAACTATTTGAGAGACATCCAGTCGTTGCGTCTGATGAACCGCTTAGACCTAGCCAGTACGTGAACAACAACGTATACGTGATCCCGAACGCTCTAGTCGCAGAACGCTTTAAGCCGGATCCCAACTTCAAGCAGACCGACACCAGTAAGTGTATGGAATACGCGCATCAGACTCGGCTCTGAGCCCAGTTCACCGTAGTCACTGTGGTCGTTGTATCGCGTCTGGCGTACCGTAAAGGTATCGATCTGCTCGTTGCCACGGCCCCACGGATTTGCGCGGCTTTCCCCAATGTACGGTTCTTGGTAGGCGCGTACCTGGACCCGTTTGTTGTAATGAGCGAGATTGACTAATGCACTTCCAGGCGGAGATGGCCCGAAGATGGTCGAACTCCTCCAGATGCGAGAAAAACATCTCCTCCAAGACCGGATCGAGCTCCTTGGGCCAGTGAAACCAAATGACGTTCGAAGTGTGAGTTGCATAATTGAATGCCGGCTTTGAGCAACTATAACACTTGGGATTCTAGGTGCTCGTTCAGGGATCTATATTCCTTAATACTTCCCTCACGGAGGCCTTCGGGATAGCTATGGTCGAGGCAGCGTGTGCAGGACTGTACGTGGTCTCCACTCGCGTCGGTGGTGTACCCGAGATTCTACCCGAGGATATGATCTCTTTCGCCAATCCTGAAGAAGATGGTACATATTGAAGATCACTTCTGTGAGGCACAAACGCTAACGTGGGAAAGGCAGATGTCTTCCGTGCCATGTCCGAAGCCATTCGAATAGTCTCCGAGGGGAAGCACGACCCTTCGCAAGCACATGAGCGCGTCAAGAGCTTCTACGATTGGGGCGGAGTATGTGAACGGACTATGCGAGTGTACGATGCCGTCCTTAAGTCTCAGCCGCGGGACTTCTGGACCAGGATGCAGCGGTAAGAATATTGGTCTACTACATTATGTCCCCAAATTGATGTTCGCTCATAGTACGCTGGATCTTGGAAGATTTGCTGGTCCGATATTTTTAACCATCCTAGTCGTCGACTGTCTTTTCTTCCTGTTCTTGGAGTGGCTCATGCCGAGGGAGGACGTGGACTTCGTGCGTATTGACTGGGACCAGGAGCGGTTTATCGAAGTGAGCTCACCGGTCATTATTCGGCTATCCTCTCACATATCACTGTGTCCTTAGGTCGCCCACGAAACTCAGGAAGCTCGACGAGGCAGACGGAGGCTTGGTTAGTGAGCGAACAGGATGTCAACGCGGGGCGATCGGGGCCGAGAAATAAATACCCTGTCGGTTTAAAGGATACCCGAACATAGTAGCACGTGTACCTAGAGCGATAGTCCTCGTTTCCACCACTTGATATACTGCTTCGTTTCCTGCAAGTTGCCTGTAGGGCGATGTGGCAAATGTGGTCACGATTTGCAGTCACAGTCACTCATCGGACGCGTCGCGTCAAAGCCCGGTTGTGGCTGCAAAGGCAGACTTACCGCTCATCTCTCTTTCCACAATGATTCAGTCGGGACTGATAGAAAGCGCACATAATGACTTGGTGACAGACGCGTCATACGACTTCTATGGACTGCGATTGGCGACGTGCAGCCTCGACCAAAGGTCTACTCCCTTCGAACGACCTTAGCGTGTCCCTTACACATTATGCTCGCGTAGGATCAAGATATGGAGACTGGACGAGACCACTGGAACCTGGGATGCTGATGATGACTGGAAGGTGGTTACCGTCCGTGCTCATACTTGTCTCTGCCCTGAAAGTGTTGGTACCCAGGCACACGATGCTGCGGTGTCGAAGGTCCACTGGGCTCATCCAGAATTCGGCTCGATAGTAGCCTCTTCTTCCTTCGACCGCACCGTCAAAGTATGGGAGGAGACATCTGTTGAGGCCGACCCGCAGCCTAATGGAAGTGGGCCTTCGTCGGCGACTTCACGTTGGGTTGAGCGGGCGACGCTGGTAGACGCAAAAGGAACAGTACGAGCTGTTGAGTTTGCGCCGCGCCATTTCGGTCTAAAGCTCGTCCGTCAATAATCTCCAGACTTTTCGTGGTGTATTGACGTCCTCGTAGGCCTCCATAGCATCTGACAATTACCTCCGAATCTACGAATGCCTCGAACAACCCTCGCTCACGACCTGGCAGCTCTCCGAAGAAATCGATGTTCATGCTATCCCCTCATCAACGCCCCCTCCCACGTCCTTGTCACACACATTGGCCCAGTCTACCCCCACACAAACGCACTCGTCCCTCGAGGGTCCCAACGCGAGCCTCGTAGCCACTGCTCTGCAGCAATCTCAGCCCCCCTCGCGCCCGGGCATGGGCAACCGCGAAGCCGACGGCGGTTGGTGTATATCCTGGTGTAAAGACAAGTACTGGGGCGAGCTGATCGCTGCGGGTGCGGGTGTGAGTGGCGTGGTGAAGGTACGCTTCCGCTGCTACCCAGGTCGGGGGACATAATCTCATATACACTAGATTATTCAAATATCGCCGACACGGCGTCCGGTAGCTCTCCTTGCACTGGACCCATACGCATCAGAACGGTCGGGCGCGTCGTCGGAGGCGGAAGGTCCAACGGCCTACGCCGTGACCTCTGTTTCGTGGGCGCCCTCGTGCGGTCGCTCGTATCACTTGATCGCGACCGGCAGTCGTGACGGTCGGGTGCGAATATGGAAGGTGAAGCCCCCTGCGCAGACGATAGATATCAGCATGGGTACGGATGATGATGAGGAGAGGTGGAGTGCTCATATCGTTGCAGATTTTGACGACCATAAGTGAGTGCTTTCTCGGGATTAGCATATGAAGTCAAGTAACCTTGCTGCGAAGGCTCGCCGTCGGGAGGGTGGAGTGGAATATTACCGGGTACGTAAAAGATATGGATTCGATATGTGAAACCGACTGAACTGGGTCTACAGAACCGTCCTGTCGTCAGCTGGAAATGACGGACGCGTTCGACTATGGAAAGCTACTGTGGGCAACGTATGGAGGGCCGCTGGACATCTCAGCGTGGAGCAAGCTGAAGAGTCTCGTGCAGATGTTGAGATGGACAACGCCGTAGCAGACTAGCGTCACATAGCCTGTACCCACTTCCAGTCGACCCCGTGTCCTCATGTTGTATCTGAGCGGTACTGCGCGCGAGACTCTCGTCCACATCCATTGATCGAGCATCAAGACACCGGATACAATAACGAGGAAAGGAGTCAGGGCAACTATGGTCAATTTTACTAAAATAGGAAGGAAAACAGTGCAACGAGGACAGCCAGGATATAGATACAGAGGTTGCGGGGTTTATAGTACATCTAGAGCGGGAGCAGCGATAGCATTAGTCCATGGCGCAGGATAACCTGGTACAGAATAAACAGAGCGATCATGAAGATAGGATTGCGCATTAGGGTTCAATGAATATTGATAGCTTCTGGGTCGAATGGCTCTGCTGGGGTACCACCTGGTACTTGAAGAATGAGGATGCCATCCTTCAGCTGTGCCCGTATAGAGCTGGCCTGTGGTGCACCATTCCGCCGTGAGTAAGAAAGAGAGAAACGGCGGTGACGTACCTGAGCATCGTGTGGAACCACGAGTGTCCTTTTGAATTCACCGTGCTTTCGTTCGCGGGTGGTGAAAAATCCGTCTGTTGCTGCGTCGTCGGGCAAAACTGACTTAGATATACCTCTGACTGTGACTTGCTTCACTCTGCTGTACGGGCACCTTGCCAGCGTTATTGTCAGGTCAGACTTTTGTATGCCGGGTATCTCGAACATGGCGGTCATCGTGTTGTTCTCTGCGTTGAAGTGTACGTCGGTTCGAATGTTCCACCGTTTCCCTGTAGCACCATCCAAAAGCTGTTGCTGAGGTTGGGCATCTTCTCCGACAGATGGCGCTGTTGTGGCAAGAGGCGAACTGCATATCAGAGATGGAGATTGCGATGTCCCTCAGGGGACATCCTACGGGTCGAGAATATCACAAGAGCGTACCTCGCTGCTCGATAACCAGAAGTAATACCAGACGAGGCTGTATTCGGGCGGCGACCCTGCGCGGGGCACGACACAGTAGTAGTAGACCCGGGCGTAAGCCCCACAGCAAGACTCCTCAGATCGTCAGTTAAACGACGAGCTTGAGCTCTGCTACCACTGCCAGACGCTGTCTCCGTCGCGCCGCCTTGAGCGTGCGACGGCCGTCTATAAGGGTGGGACACCTGCGTGGCATGTCTGCCGCGCGGCGACGTCCTCACAGGCAGGGTTGTTCTAGGACGCGTCGTGTCTAAGCCAAGACGCATCCTGGCGTCCTCTGACGCGACACCAGCGGTATCACCGCCAGGCGCAGAATATGTTGGTCTACCAGCATGGCTGGTCTCAGCACTATACCCGCCGTATCGCGACTGACTAGGTGCAACAGGAACAGTCTCTTCGAGTTGTACCGTCTGCGGCGGTTGGTAGGCCGGAGGCTGCTGCGGGTCGAGTGTTTGGTCTTGCTCGCTCCAAGGGCTTGCGTACGTCGTCGGCGTTGTTGGCGCTGTCGAATAATGTCCATGGTCACCGTACGTGTAGTTGTATGCCATTGGAAGGAAGGGGGGCGACATGCTCCCACCGTCGCCACGTATATAGCGGGCGTCGGTGGTGACTCGACCTGCCGGATCCGAAGAAGCAGGGCGGCGAGGTACTTAGTCCGCCATTGTTAGGCCATTTGTGGCATGGAGGGCGTGAGAATGCCGCCTTATGATCCACGTTCGCGCGGCTTCTCCCGGCATCGTGTTTTGTGTTTGTGGCTTCAAGCTTCAAGCTTCAAGTTCGGGGATACCGTCCATACGCATGCACTGCGGCCTGCATGGTATGTACACTGTTATGCATATTTCTCCGGTGAATTCACACGTCGTCGAACAGTTCACCTGGCATCGATCCACATCTTGTAGATTGCAATTGGAACTGCCCGACGGGTTGGCTACTTGATACTGCCTTACTGACCGATATAACTTATCCCACGGTGGGATCAGTACGAATAATAGGTCAGCCTATCTATAGGTTGACGAGTGCACCAGAACTATGGGCAGGCACTGGTGCCTATGAGGACCCTCGAAGTTGACTGCCAGTGATCTGAATCCTGAGCGTTGAAATCAACCAGCGCTCGATATGTGAAGGGAGAAGGCAGAGTACCTTTGTCCGGAACCAGGTAAGTACTGTGCTCGCATCTTTTGGCTAAGACTGACCATTGCAAATACGGCCAGTGGAACTCGATTGTTCAGACTTCATCGACGTACTTTCAGGAAGGGAAATACAAATCCGGGTCATCCTCAACCTAGAAGTATGACCTTCTTCTCCCGCGGTATTCGATGGTTTGCACCTTGATTTTGTATATTGCAGCCACTTTTCTCAGGAGTCCGGCGATCTCAAGTTCGTAGTCACTCCCCAGCATCTCGCGGCGGCATGTTATTTGCGGTCCGAAGAATGCATCAGATTCTCTGCCATGGATGCTGTCCTCCTGGACGAGGATGGAAGCCACGCTCCCTGTGCTATGATGATATAGTTGGGCCGGCGGCTGTCAGCTTCTCCCAATCTTGCCTGCCGCGTCTATGTGAGGGTTCCAAGATATCCCATCACCCGACGCACACGGCCTGTCTGACACACCCAAGTATAGCAAGCAAACACAATAATCATTAACCGACGCATATTAGAATGGCACAGATCCACAGAATGCCTCTATGCAGCAGAGCAGCTGTGGCTAAGTAACAAACATCATAGTAGTACTGTATGTATACAACAGGTATATACCACGCCAAATCAAGGACATAAATGACAGGGGTAAAGCAAGTGCGTCGCGAGAGGAGTCCGCCGTCATGACGAGCACAAGCAAGACGAGTTTCCGCTGATGGTCCCCGCACCAAAGCACCAAATGGTAAGGTGTCGCCCCAATAACCATTAATCCGTACGTAGAAGGTCATAAAAAGTCATCTTCCGCTTGCAGAACCAGAAAGGTAAGCTCGCCGCTCCGATTGGGAGAACCGCAAGAATCAAAGCAGCTTAGACTGCTTCAGGTGCTGCCGAATTACCATATCTCGAACTGCAGGAAAGGCCCTCAGTCAAATGCGGGAGCAGAAGCAACGGAGTACCCTTACCACTCGCAAGTATACCAGCGGTCGTAGTCGTATCCTGAGTCAAAGCGGGTTCAGTGATCAAAGCCACAGCAGCCACATGCCAAATCCTTACCGTCACGGAAGTACAAAAACCGTAGAATTTCCGAGGGTTCGGCGAATACTCCCTCTGTATAGCATTGAATTTACTGCGGAAATCTGTCGTGATCACGTAAAGTCATTAGCATCAGGCAGGTCAAGAGGTACGGGCGCGCCGGATCACGACTCCGCGGAGCACGCATGATCGTGATCAAGCAGCCCCGACTACATGGAGATGTACTCGCCCACTCACATTTGCTCGCCGTCTCCAGATCATTAGGTCGATCACCGAAGCTCCGGACGTACTTGGCCAATCTGCAGAATGAAAAATGAAAAATGCCACATCAGATCGGGCGAACGACCGGCGAATTGATGATTATCCATCGCAGAGAAGGGTGTACATACCTGACTCCGCTCTTCAGTTTCTGATCGAGGATGTCGCACTTGTTCAGGAAGAGCACGAGCTCGACGTTCGCGAGCAGCTTATTCGAGCAAATGGCTTTCCATAGCAGAACGGAGTCCTCCTGTACGATAAGAGTCAGTATACCTGCAACAGAACATGGTATCAGAAGAGTACGAACCAGCCGATTCACGCTCCGATCTTCTGTCAACACCTGGTCGAACCCAGATATCGGGGCAAGGAAAATGATAGCATCGACTGTCGAACAACACAGGAGGAGTCAGCAAAAAGACAGGAAGAAGACCACTAGATACTGACCATCGTCGAAAAATGGCATCCAAGTCGCTACGACATTTCTTAGTATTCATACATAGCGAAGCTACTCTAAGGCACTTACGTCGCTACGAAAATGAGACGATAGATCAGCCATCGGAGGAATGCGGCACTCGACAGCTATACTTACCTGACTACGACTCCCGCCGACATCCACGATCCGCCATTCGGTGCCACTCTCCTTACCTGCGCTAGCCTCCATCTCGAATTTGTACTCTGACACCCCGACGGTTTTTAGCCGCGCCTTCAGCACGTCATCTGCATACCAGGATAAACCGCTAATCATCATCAAACGATGACTAGCTAACGCACCTTCCGTCGGTGTATACTTCAGAGAAGTTACCCGTTCGATGTCGTTCAAGAAGCTGCGGACGCAAGCGTACAGTGTCAGCCTGACGCAACCCTCGAACGACACCGCAGAACTACTTACAACCCAGGCCCTTCTTCCAGCCTGAGCTTCCGCCTCCTCAGGACCTCCCTGACCCCCCGGTCCGTCCATAAAGCCATAATATCCTCCCTCAGCCGGTACAATACACTCGTCGGGGACTCCTCCATCCCCGGGTACGAAGGCCGCCTGCCGTTCTGCATCGCGGCATTGGTGAACAAGTCGATGGGCGACGACGACGCCGTCGTCGTCGCGCGCGTGGTGACGGAATTCGAGAGCGACGGGACGGGCGGGATGTCGCCGTCCGCATCGCCCATGGACTGGACGAGCTTGGCCAGGGCACCCTTCCACGCCGTCCCAGGACGGATGTAGACTTCCTGGTCCGACCATGGCCAGTTACCGTTTGTGGTGGGGCAATCGACGGCTTTTGCTGCGAGGATACAGCCGTAAATATTCATCTGTAGAAAATGATAGAATCCATTTACCTTTGCCGTTACCGCGCGCCCACCTGCCGCGCTCTTCGTCGTCGAAGTCCACCGCCTCGCCTTCTCGTGGCGGCTCGACGGTGAGCATCCTAATCAAAGAATGTTCCACATCCCTGAGGACCTCGAGGCGCTCCCGGATCTCAGGCAAGGCAGGCGAGCCCAGTGCTGCCAATATTCGCTCGTCAGAGTCGTAGTCTGCGGTGAAAGCGGTGTAGGACGACGAGGCGTCGGGCGGCGGCGAGGACTCCCGGTCCTCCTCGAAGATATCGAGCGTCGCGCTGCCGTACGAGCGCGTCTGCGAGGTGCTGCTGACCATGTGGTGGGAAGGGGTGGAGTGGTGGTGCGCGTACTTTGGCGAGCGCTTTCGGGAGGGGGAGCGCGAGTAGTCGGACTTGGTGTGATGGCGGGGGTGCCCATTTGTAGTGCGATGGTAGTCGGAGAGGGAGTTCGAGCGGGAAGTGTAGCGCGGAGGAGAATGGGGGTAGGAGGAGTGACCGGACGAGGAGGGCAGCGCGTCGAGGATTGTGCGTATCGATCTTATGAGATTTAATTGGATTACGGAGCGCCAGAGGACTCGCTCCTGTCTGAACGCCGTCGGCGTGTACAGACGCTGGAACTCTGCGAACAGGAGCCTCCGTCAGCACTGTAACTTTCGCCAGACGGTACTTATCCGAAGCTGAATGGCTGAATCGACACTTACGCCGTAGCGTTGTCGATTTCCCTGCAATTAATAGCCGACGTTACTCCAGCAATAATGCGGCAAAGGGGCCATTGCACGCACCACTTTCGCTCTGGCCTAGCAGCAGCAGCCTGACCACCCTCTTCTTCTTCCTCTCAATTCTCTCCATCTTGATACTTTCGTCGATTTGTTGGCTGATCCGCTTCGCCTCCTCCTCCCTCCTAAGCCGCTCAGCCTTCTGCTCTGGGGTTTCGTCTGGAGGGGGGCGCATAATGTGCTCGAAGGGGTCGTCGCTGTTCCCGACACGTATGGAGGGCATTATGGGCAGGCTTGACGGGAGGGCGGACGATGGTGATGGATATGCGGACGGACGGTGGGTTTCGGTCCAGCGGTCCACAGAGTCCACGACGAGGACGGAGAGGACGAGCTGTTCAGACACCGCCGCCAGGTACCAACACCCCGGTTGTGCGATCGACCGACATATCTGCAATGTCGGCGCCTCCCGGCCCACGTCTCCGGGCTCCAATGCCCATATCCGGCGTCCTTCGCGGCTCGTTTCCCACAAATTCTTGAAATGTTCGACAGCCGTGCGCGTCGCCCATCTCTGCGGACGCCGTATGTTGTGTTCGCTTACGCCATGGCATATGTTTCTCCTCCACTTTTCCCAACCGTAATACGCGCTGCAGAGGACGCGCTGAAACCCGCCTGTTTATACGCCGCCACAATCAACTATAGCATACACGTGTAGCTAACAGTGCCTGATCACCAGGCACCGAGACGACATGGATTCCCGGGCCAAGTTCGAGAACAGCTGTGGAACAGGGAAGGCACTGTGGGTGCAAGGGGCGCGCAGACAAAGAGCAGAACTATAGACGCCACCTGTCCAGCTGCTGCGACACTGGGTCAAGCACCGGTCCTCCCTTGGCCATATGGGTCTACCCATCTCACATTCCTCGGGCGCCTGCCCGAAGCCGAATAAAATATCTGATGCGATATGATATCCGCTTCAAATTCCACCGCGGAGGAAATTCATCATTCAAGTCTCCACGAAGACTCGGAGGACCTCTCGCACGCAGCTCGCGTGGGAGTCGCGCGATATCGCCTGGAATGAGCTTCAGAGGAAGAGCACGTCTCTCCCCACACATAGCCACACATCCATTCCGCCAGAACAAATCTGTCTGGAACGACGACGTCAGTCCGTGCTTCTAGCGCATTTGCCTCCGGAAGATATCCTCGGAGAAGCATCGTCTAAACCGTATCTTCTGCCGTCAAATCGCCGCCTTGATAAGGCCTCTAAATCAGAGTCCGGGCAGCAATCTGGTGCCCCGCGTTCCGCAAGCACCATATACGATCTCAAAAATACAGAAAAGTGTCGCGAATGGCGGCGCCCTTGCCAGTTGGATGGCAGCATTAGACCACACCGGTCCTGACTACTATTCTACAAGTATTTTGACTTCTACCCGCTGCCTGCCAGTTGGATGGCAGACAGCACCGACAGCCCTACTCTATACCCCAATGCAGATCTAAAACAGATATGGCCCTTATCACAAGCAACCGTGTAAGAATCGATACGTCTCCTCGTAGTTGATGGAGGCGCACCTTTTGCTCGTCCCCCGTCAGACCTGATCTGTAAACAGCTCTGGTGTATCAAGTTCAACGCCTTGACAGCGTCCCTGCCGTCAATCACACAAGAAATGTTGATCTCGCTGGCCCCCTGGCTGATCATCTCGATATTCACATTTCCCTGGGCAAGCGTTGTGAACATCCTGCCAGCAATGCCGACCATATTGCGCATTTGTTTCCCGACGAGCGACAGGATAGCCATGTCGCGGTGGGCCGAAACCTGCATGGGATGACTGATCAGGATGGAACAGACAAGCCTGAGAGACGGGTCAGGACTCACTGAGCCGCTCTTGCGCAGCTCCTTTATGAGCCTGTCTAGCAGCTTTTTATCCAACCCCTGGTCCTCGATGGCCATACTGACGTGCACCTCGCTGGTGCTGATCAAATCGACCACGACTCCGAACCTATCAAGCGTCCCGAAGATGCCCGCCAGGAAGCCATGCGAGACGCTCTTCCTATTCGAGTTCACGTTCAGGACTACTATGTTCTCCTTGATCGTCACAGCAGTGGGCAGTCGCTTGTGCGGGTGTTCCTCTGCAGCGACGGACAAGTCCTGCAGGGCTTCTAATGAGACAGGCTCCTCCAGGATCGCCCCGCGGAACGGATCCGCTTCGAGCTCCTGCTGGAGTTGCGGCGCATCTACGTCGGAGTCGGGATAAATGACCGTCCCTCCCCCTTTCGGATTCTCGACGTTCTTGATCCGTATAGGAATCTTCCGACGGATAACCTACGCCACCATCAGACCTCACCTCCCGCGAGTGCTATAGACGACAATACCTGCTCCATCGTGAACGGGTGCACGACCTCGCTCCCGTAGTACGTCAGCTCCGCCGCCTCGTCCGGCGAGATGATCGGTATGAGCCGCGCGGTGGGCACCTTGCGCGGGTCGGCGGTAAAGATCCCGTCGACCTCTTTCCATATCTGCAGCTCCGACGCCTCCAGGCCCACCGCAGCCAGGGCCGCTAGCAGGTCCGTGTACCCGCGGCCAACTTGGCGGAGTAGCGAGCCAGGTACAGGGCCGAAGAAACCTTAAGCAGCGGTGTCAGACATAAACGTCAGGAAGGCGTTGGTGGGATTTACCTGTCACGACAGGCACCCGCGGGCTGCACAGCTTGATGCGCTCGCCGACGGCTTGGGCTACTCGGTCGTAGAAGGACTGGTCCAGCGCTTCGGTCTGCGAGGAGTCCCGTTCTTCCATCGGGGGCACGACGTTCTCCAGCGAGACGAATTCTGCGTCGACGCCGTTGTCCCTCAGGACGGCGGTCATGAGCTTGCATGCGAGGCGCTCGCCAAATCCGACGATGCTGTCCTTCGAGCGAGGTGAGATTTCGTCTATGACCTTGACATGTCTTCGTCAGATAGGTCCCATTCAATTCTCGTACTACATACTTGAGCCGCGAATAGGAAGGCCCGCAGGGCCTCGCAATCAGCTTCAATTTCCGTCTCGATGTCGCGTAAAACAGCAGCATTCTTGATGGACGTCCTCGCGGCGCTCAGATGGTCAGCACGAATAGTATCAACAGTCGCACTGAACAACGGCTGATGTCTTGCGCTGGCCGATCCCAGGTTGAAGGATGAGAACGGGGACGGCGAGCCAGACACGGGGGACGAGGGACTGGACTGTCGCGTAAAGCCGTTCATCCATGCTGGAGTGACCGTGCCCGGCGTGCTAGGTATCGAAGGCGCAGGATTGCGCTGCAAGGCTTCGGATGCGGCTCGGAGCAGCAGATTGGTGGTCCCGAGTGCTTTTGTCTTGCCCGACCGCGCTGAACATACAATGACTACCTTGTTCTGATCCAGGTAGCCACTAATCCGGATGAACCATAGAGCGTGTTAAAGATGAAGACGGTCGATCATTGGATCACGACGTACGAGACTATGTCCTGCGCGATCTTGGTCGCGAACTTTCCGACGCTCGTGCCACCGTACTTCTGCACCAGCCACTTCGCATCGGGATCGATGCTATTCTGGTGCAGATTCGGTGGCGTCCCGGGCATGGTGTTGTCAGAGAGCGAAGAGGTAGATGAGCTCGGAGAAGGGGGTCCCGACATGGTCAAGTTTTGCTAGGTCGAATTGTCCAGGAAAGATAGATAAAGCAAGCAAGGAAGCAAACAATGTCCAAGTAATACAGAGCTATGCGAGACACAACATGGAAAACAGAAAATACCTATTGCAGATGCAGTTGCGACATTGCGGGACAGACAGAGAGACTCGCAATAAATACACCATAGTTTTCGGGAGAGTGACTCGATTGCAAAGTCACGTGAATTCGGGTTATTCGGACATAACCTGGACCTTCGCAGTCGCCACAAAGCCAGACCTTGTCGTCCTCCTGGAACATTCGTTATTCGAGTAGATACCAACAGATATGCAAGAACAATGTAAGCGAGATTCTCGAATTACTTATAGTCGAAGCTGATTTCCTGTGGTACGTTTACCCAGCGCAATCGCAATACGCAGCAGCGGCTCATGTCCCATTAATCAAGTCACCAAGTCTCCGAGTTCCTCGTCCAGTGCGTCGTACCTGAAGAATCGGGATCTTGCGCCTACAACTTTGATGGAGTTGCTATAGGTCGAATTACCACCGGATCTTCACCCATTGCCAGACGATGTGAACGCATATGTTCGTGGTGCTGTCCCATTCCTTCGCGTTTCCAATTAACGCCAAACAGTTCGTCTACCCATTCACTCTGGAGCCCCACATCATTACTCTCGAATCAGCAAGACGCTCGACCTTAGCTGCTCACGCCGCCAGACGGGAAGCGTACCTACGTGCTCGCGATGAAGAGAAGGAGCGCCGCAAGCGTGAGGCCCTGCGGAAGGTCGCACCTGGATTCGAGCCGTCTGCCGCGCCCCTCGTGCCAACGCCTATACGAAAGAGTACAAGTGCGCCTCCGGCGGGGCCAGCGAACGCTCAACAGTCGCCGCCAGGATCTATGAGTCCACAGGCGGCGGGGAGACCAAAGGATGTCATGGAGGATCTGGTCAGCCAGCTGGAGAAGCTAGAGTCATCGTCGTCTTGATATGATTCTATCCCTCGTTCGTCCTGTCGTGAAACCAAGATCCTCGCTATTATACTTTTGGTAACTACTCCGTGTATCTAATGAGTGTAGTCTAACTGGTATGTGATGCAAGGTATATAAAGTCCAAGTTTTAGTCCGAGTGTGCTTTCCCGTTACCCAAGATGCTGTGTCCGTTGATACCCAACGAATGCGACGAATCGTCGTGCTCTTGCAGAGATTTTGCCTCCTCCAGAAACTCCTCAAATGTTTTCTTGAATCCTCTAGTCAAGTACCTAGCAACTCCCTGGTACTGCTCGACCTTATCCGCCGTGACAGTCCACACCAAATGGCCGTTATACGAAATCATGCCAAGCCCCAGCGTACCCTTCCCCGCCTGCGGCGGGCTCGCCGTCCACCTCAGCACCTCCGCGCCATCAACGTCGAACGGACTAGACGGACCCGGCACATTCGTGAGCACGCCGTGGAAATTGCTCATCGCCCAGTCAATAATCGGGATCCTCTCGTCCATGACGTTGCGCTCCTCGCCGTGGTGCGTAAAGTAGTACTGGATGCTGTGCGGGAAGAGCATCGGGATGCGGTAGATGTGCTCGAGGAACGCGAACGCGATGCGCGGGTAGAACGCGGTCTTGAGCTTCTGCATCTCGTCGTGGCACGCGTGGATGAGCGCCTGCGTGCAAGGCTTGTGCGCGTTGAAGTAGGCGGTTGCGCCGGTGGAGAGGTTTTTCATCCGTTGATCGGAGGGCGAGCGGATGGAGATCGGGATGAAGAGCGCAACGCTGCATGGGGGAGACATTTCAGTCTGAGCGTGTTTATAGTATATGTGGGAATACGCACCGCTTGTCAGGGAAGCCCCCGTGCTCCTCGCAGTACTGCCGGATGGTCTTGGTCACGACAGCGCACATCACGTCGTTTAGCGTGATCCTTCTCAGCGGCGTCTGGAACGCCTTCTGCACGACTTTAATGTCCTGCAGCGAGATAGCGTCCGAGAAGGAGAACTCCTTCTCTTCCCTGCGCGGACCGTCGTACTGCAGTGCCTTCCGCCGGAAGCTGACGAAGATGAGCACCGCGCGGGTGCACGTGTATACGTCGTACAGGATCGTAATGGCACTGAATAGAAGCCATAGCACCCAGAAGAGCAACGTGACGAGGACGCTGGGGACGAAGGGATCGAGGGGTTTGAGGCGCTTGCCGAGACCGTTGATGGGAAGATCGGAAAGTTTCGCTCTGCCTACTTCAAGGTTGCATTGGACCGCTGCAGCTTTTTTCAGCTGGGCTTCGATCTTGGGCCCTGCGGAGGTGATGGATAGCTGGGAGAGGACGAAGCCTTGTCCATCCGATAAAGCTGAGATGCATCGTTACTATAAGCAATTCAGCACCTGAGGTTCTAGTATACCCACCGTGATGCGCTCGCGTGATGACGGCACATTTCGCGCCAGTTTCATCGCGGTAGTTGTAGAACACTATCACCTCCCAGAGCGGCTTGCTGAGGTCCCAGTCGCGCGCAATGAAGCGTGCCATCTCGTCTTCCAGCTCGTCCTTCCCGTTCTTCCCGTCAGGCATCTCCACGACCGTGATATTATTCCGCACGTCAAAGTTGAGGTCCTCCTTCAGACGTGCGGTGTGGAAGCGGCGGTTCAGCCCAGTGACGCGTTGGCGGTAGGCCGGGTAGCGCTCTGTCATGGCCGACCATACGGAGACGAGGGATTCGAATGTGAAGGCGTCCTTGAAGGTGAATATGCCCGCGCTGCCCTGGGCTCGAATGATTCTTGAACACGAACATTTGGGGCTCCTGTCACTCACCAAACGGGATTGAAATCAGTCTCCCGCTGGAGGAGAAACCACATATTGTCGATGCCAGGTAAGGAGTGTCTTTGGTAGTCCCATTCTTGCTCCAGCCACTTTCCGATAGCGCCGCCCATGAGACCTTTCCGCTCGGAAGTCTCGATTTTGTTCGTCCGACGCGACACATCGTCTACAGAAACAGACAAACGGCGAAGCATTGAGCAGGGACAAATGAGGAGCGAATTCGAGAGTAGGATTCGAGTACCAAAGTTCATGCAAGTTCGCTCCGGGCCCAAGTCCTCCTGCATGTGATAAAACCGCGTGATCAGACACGATCGAAAGGCCGGACAAATGACGAAAGAGACATGCGCTCTTATGGTAATTGGTTAGCCTAAATGGGATTTATCGTGGAAAGACCCAGGCTCCTAGAACCATCCGTCTCCGCGTCCTCGATCCTCTCTGCTAGGGCATATGTGAAGATATTATGTAATAGGGCTTATATAATGCAACTTATTTATAGATGTGTTTCCTAATTAAGACGACTAGTGAGGATGAGGACGCTCTGAGACGGCTGGCCCAACTCGTCGTCCGAGGTTTTACCGGAATTATGTAAGGCAGCTAAGCGACTAACGACGCGTCGGTTTATTGACGTTCGCCGACTGCCCGATTTGGATTTTCGAGCTGGCTTTGTCGTAGCACCTCAGCCGCCCATGTCATCTGCGTCGATAGCGGGATGTATAATGCAATTAAATAGAAGTAATCCTTGGATAGTATGCATGAGAAGTCTATGGGTTGTTGCTATGTATTTTTGATGCATAAATCACTTTGCAAACATTGAAAGGTGCAAGTACTAGGCTCCTCAATGAAACATGGCCCAAGACCTTAGGGCACGGGGTATATGAAATTTCCTATGATACGGATATGGCAGCTTGCCTCACTCTTGCGGTGAATAGCTGTTCACTGTTTTCTTGGTTGAAGTGGGAAGTTTCCCGCGCACACTCGCCCGAAGTGCATGCAATCAACGGGTCAGAGATGCACTATTCCAATATTGACAGATGCAAACTCTATGTCCCCAACATCACGCGGATGAGCAGATGACATGCTCGAAGGGCGGCTGAGGTGCTACGACAAAGCCAGCTCGAAAATCCAAATCGGGCAGTCGGCGAACGTCAATAAACCGACGCGTCGTTAGTCGCTTAGCTGCCTTACATAATTCCGGTAAAACCTCGGACGACGAGTTGGGCCAGCCGTCTCAGAGCGTCCTCATCCTCACTAGTCGTCTTAATTAGGAAACACATCTATAAATAAGTTGCATTATATAAGCCCTATTACATAATATCTTCACATATGCCCTAGCAGAGAGGATCGAGGACGCGGAGACGGATGGTTCTAGGAGCCTGGGAAAGACCCCACTACGTCCCCCTCATATATGTACTCCGTAGCTGTTTGACTGCGTGACTGCGCAGCCCGCTCTTGGTGAAGTGTGCCCCGCCATCACGTGACCTAATTTGCCTAAAGTAATTTTTGTCGAGAGTATACTCCTTCCAAACCTACCACGACGGTCTCGTCGTGATGGCTCTTTCGTTCTGGTTGACGGCGGGGAAGACATGTAGTCGCTCTCTTTCTAATAGATGCACCGTCTTTGGTGCAGATGCTGGTCGGCGAGCAGGTTCGTAGAGCGGATTCTGTGACGGCGACAGTTTACTGACCATTCTCAAGGTGTTGCAGGTACACTCGCTCGGCGCTGTCAGTCTACGGCCGCTGCAGTACAAGAGGAGACGCCGAAGAATGTCGATAGCCAAGCTGCTGATGCACCTCTGCCCTTCGAGTCTCTCAAGGACGAGCTTCACCCTAATACTCTCCGTGCACTCACCGCCCACCCCTTCAAGCTCACGACCATGACTCCCGTTCAGGCCGCTGTACTCCCTCTCACGCCAACACTGGTGCGTTCCCACAAGGACGCTGAGGGTCACCCTCGTGACCTCCTTGTCAGGGCCAAAACCGGGACAGGCAAGACGCTGGCGTTCCTCATCCCCGCCGTCGAAGGGCGACTGAGAGCGATCGAGGACCACGTGGATAAGGTTATCAGGGATCAAGGTCACAAAAATACACCTGATGTCAGGCGTCGAATCGCAAAGGTGTTCGCGCGGAACGACGCCGGCATCTTGGTAATCAGTCCTACCCGCGAACTCGCAACACAAATCGCGACGGAGGCTCAACGGTTGACCACGCATCACAACGATATGGAAGTGCAGCTGTTTGTTGGCGGCGAGGGCAAACGCAAGCAGATGCGGGATTGGATGAAACTTCCACGGGATACTGTCGTGGCGACGCCTGGTCGGTTACGGGACTTGATTGAAAACGAGCCGGACGTTGCCAAGGGTCTCTCGAAAGTCAGAACGGTACGTGCATCTTTATCCTATTCGTTGTGTTGTGTCTCATCTGTCGTCGCAGCTCATTCTGGATGAATGCGACACGCTCTTGGATATGGGTTTCCGCGACGACCTCGACGCAATTGTTGAGGCTCTGCCGCCGACTCCTGAACGCCAGACACTGCTCTTCTCCGCGACTATCAACCGTGCTGTCCAGCAGACAGCTCGGCGTCTCCTCGCGAAGGACTTCATCAGCATCGACACGGTCTCCGCAGACGATTCGCCCGTCCACGCGCACATCCCGCAATACCACACCGTCCTCCCGTCCGCCAAGGAGCAACTTCCGCATCTGCTCCGGCTCATCGCGCACGACCAGCTCGCGAACCCTGGCAAGTCGAAAATCATGGTTTTCTGCTCCACGACAAAGCATACCAAGCTCCTCACGTCGCAGCTGCTTGATCTGAAGGCCGGGCTGCCCGTGAAGGAAATGAAAATCTACGAGATCCATAGCAGGAAGGACCAGGGCGTGCGCACGAGGACTTCGGACGCGTTCAGGAAAGACACATCGCCCTCTTCTATACTCGTTTCTTCCGACGTATCTGCGCGAGGCGTGGACTACCCAGGCGTGACTCGGGTCATCCAACTCGGCATTCCCTCCTCCACTGACCAGTACGTCCACCGTGTTGGCCGGACAGGCCGTGCAGGGTCACGTGGCCGTGGCGACCTCGTCCTCCTGCCTTGGGAAGTCGGCTTCGTCTCCTGGCAGTTGACTGAGATATCTCTGAAGCCAGTAACGACCACCGAGCTCGAGTCGCAAGTGCTTGCCCTAGCCGAGAAGCACGATGCGGACCCCAATGCATTCGTCGCGGATGCCCCCGTTCGCCCAGAGGCGTTCCGCAACCCCTTGGTTCCTCTTATCAAGAACATCCCCGCGCACGTGCAGGAGGTGCAGCGCCATGTAGACACGAACGAAGTCGAAGAGACGTTCGCGTCCGTCCTCGGTTACTACGCGTCGCGCGACGGAGACCTGCGGGTGTCGAAGTCCGTCATTCTCGAGGGCCTGAAAGACTGGGCGACGCAGGCATGCGGCCTCGGTGTCCCTCCGTTCTTGACAGACTCGTTCTTGGCGAAACTCGGGTACCGCCCTGGTGGTTCTGGTAGTTCGAAGTCGGATTCCTTTAGGTCGAGCAGTTCGAGCCGCGGCAGGGGCGGCGGCTCAAAGCCCTCTTGGGAGAAGCGGGGGAGCAGTAAAAGCTGGGAACAAGACGACAGGCCACGGTCTCGCTCTTACGGTAACGACAGGACCGATAGGTCGGACAGGTCGGATAGACGATATGGATCGGACAGGTCGGAAAGACCTTCGTACAGGTCAGAAAGGTCGGACAGGGACAGGCCGTATCGGTCAAACAGGTCGGATAGGTCGGACGGGGAGGGCTTCAAGCTGCGGAGGGCTAGTCAGGACCGGGACTACGACTATAACTGAGGTTGTACGATGATCTTCGCTGGGTAGACGGCGGCTTTGCTTTCGGATATGTATTGTAGCTATAGTGTCTTCATATTACTTGCATATTTACATCCATTAATAGCATAGACTGGTTATGGCACAGCTCTTACTGGTGTGATGGTGTACGAAGACTCAAGGGAAAACAATTTAAATAGATTAAGCGTCCGAGTGCCCATTAACCAAGACATGGGTCTCGCCCTGCATACCCTCCTTTTTGCCCTCGAGGATTTCCCGTTCACTGACCATGGAGTGCTCGGGGTGTGGTGGCTTGTACAGTTGCATCTGCAGGTCGAGCTGCTGCTCGAGTACCGACTCTCCCGACGCAGCAGCCACAAACCCAAGGAACGGCGGCGACGGATTGAGAGGCCGCGTGCAGAATTCCGGGTGCGCCTGGAAGCCCATGAAAAATGGGTGATCTACAGCGACACCACCATTCAGCCTCGCTTAACACTTGCGCAACGAAGAAGCAGACGCATACCTCGCAACTCCATCACCTGCATCCGCTCGCCCTTTTCATCCCTCCCGACAAACTCCATCCCGCTACCCTCGAGCTTCTCGATGAACGTGGGGTTCACCTCGTAGCGGTGCCGGTGGCGCTCCCAGATCTTGCCCGCGCCGCCGTACAGCCTGCGCGCCTTCGACCACGCCTCGGAGCCCGGCTGGAAGACGGTCGGGCGCAGCCCGAGACGCATCGTTCCGCCCATGTGCGTCTTGGAGATCTCGGGCATGAAGATGATCACGGGCGTCTCGGCGTTTTCGACGAGTTCCCCCGATTGCGCGTCTGGGGGCATGCGTGTCAGGAAGGGGGGAGGTGAGAGGAGGGAAGGAGAGACGCACTGGAGAGCCCGCAGACGTTGCGCGCCCACTCGACGACGGCGAGCTGGAAGCCGAAGCAGATGCCCAGGAAGGGCACTTTCTGCTCGCGCGCCCATTTGATGGCGAGGATCATGCCCTCCGTTCCGCGCATGCCGAAGCCTCCCGGGACCAGGATCCCTCTGCGAGCGGTCAGAGTTCGCGCAGCTGATCAAGGGGATGTGATCGATAGAGAACGTACCCGGCACCGACGACTGCCCGCCATGCGTCGTGGTATCTTGCTGGGTGGAGTTCCTGTGTTTCTGGCTCCAGGTCAGACGACTCGACCCACTGAGGCCAAACGATTTTAATAAATGCTACTAGTGCAAGAGTATAGAGACCCTACCTGTAGGACGAGCTTTCGCTGGCATCGGAAGGCGGAATGTTCTAGTGATTTGACGACGGACATGTACGAATCCTTGAGATCCGTGTACTTCCCGACCAAGACGATATTGACGTCGTCAAAGAACCGCTCTTGCCTTCGTTAACGAAGAATGAGCCGACTCCCCATATAGTCGCCGATAGCCACCCCGCTTACCCAGTCGTCATCTCCTTCCACTTGCGCGCCAGCATCGTGCCCCTGTCGGTCATGTTCTTGGAAATATGGAGGCTTCCAAGATTTAGTCGTTTCTGAAGATATTCGACGATACCTTGCGAGCGAAGGAGGAGGGGGACGTGGTACACTGATGACAGGTCGTGCACGCCGACGACCTGTTCTTTTGAGACATGGCAGAATAGTGATATTTTCTCCCGTGTGGGGATTTCGAGGGGTTGGTGGGATAAGAGTCTGCAGGCGATCTGCATAATCAGTGCCTACCGCTCAGTAAAAATTCCGAACACATAGTATCATAGGAGGGCGCACGAGATCGGGGAGAAGGCCCAGCCCGCGGAGTGCGTGCACGGTCGTCTGGGTCGGTTTCGTTTTCTGCTCGCCGTGCATGTCGGGCACGAGTGAGACGTGGATGAGCGCGAAGTTTTCGTGACCGACGCGGAACTGGAACTGGCGCATGGCTTCAACGAAGGGCGCGGATTCGATGTCACCGACGGTCCCGCCGAGCTAAAGCAGTGTAAGCTTTGGGTGTGGGAGGGAGGGTATTGGTACGTTACCTCGACGATGCAGACGTCTGGCTCCTCGTCGGTCTCGTCGACGGGGATTTTAGATACACGCTCGATCCAGTCTTGGATGGCATTCGTAACGTGAGGGATAATCTATACCTTAGATTTAACATGCCTGACTTCGTCTAGTGGTCAAAACCACGAACCTGTACTGTCTTTCCAAGGTAATCTCCCCGGCGCTGTTGGAGCGTTCATTCCCAAGTAACGGTTCTCCATTCGTATAATTACCTACCTCCTTCTCAATAACCTCTCTGTAGATCTTTCCGGTGGTGATGTTGTTATCTCGGGACAACGTGACGTCCAAATATCGTTCATAGTTCCCAAGGTCGAGGTCCACCTCCCCGCCGTCGTTCAGGACGTATACCTCGCCTATGCACGCACCTGTCTCAGACTTTCACACTCATACCGCACGCAATGGCGCCTCACCGTGTTCAGTCGGCCGCATCGTACCGGCATCTATATTCATATACGGATCTATCTTGATCGCGGTCACCTTCAGACCCGTCGTCTTTAGGAGCAGACCGGTCGAAGACGCTACAATGGCCTATCTGAACTCCAGCACGCAAAAATATATCGATTTCCCTCGCACCGATGATGCCCTTCCCGATACCGCTCACCACACCGCCCGAGACGAGGATGTACTTGGTCATGGCGCGCCGGCTAGTCCTGGGTCCTGGGGGTTGCAGTGATTACGGGGGGAAGGGACAATTGGGACGCGTTCGAATTTTTAATGGTAAATTGATGGGTACGCGGGTCAAAACAGGGACAAATAATACACCGCCACAAGCGCGTCTCGTTCCCTCTTCCTCGATCGAGATTTGCCGGTTTATTGTGTATTCGCCGGTCAGGCACACTCGTAAATACATGACAATTGGCTAAATAATCCTGGAAGCTCTGCCACCTGAGTAGTTTTCTCTTGGAGACTGTTGTCGCTGAGAGCCGCAGGACTATCTTCGCCGCTAGACTGCCAGGAGAGTCGTGAATCGCGATATGTAGTGGGGGAGCGCGTGCGTACCTCTGGAATTGGACACTCGCGTATAATATAACAAAGATATTAACGGAGAGACACCAGTCTGAGTCTATTCACCTCGATGGCTATGTCAAGCAAATTTCGACGTCTGGCGCCGGGGGGGCAGCCATATTGCAATGTGGGCGGTCGGGGACAGACTTACTCGGAGCAAGTAGCTTGTTTGACAAGGCAGGTCAAAGGCGTCCCGGCCAATAGCTTTCCAATTGACAAATGGTCCGAGTCCGGGTCCTTGAATCTGGGAAGACTTGCAGCTGCAGGTGCGCGGCCCCCTTCCATATTGCCATGATCCAGTGGATCGTTCGTAGATCGGGTGTCTCACCAGTATATCTTAAATAAGTATCAGATTGCAGGTCTTCAGATCTTCCCAAAGTAGACAACAGGTAGAGGTGCAGCATGAAGCCTGAGGTTGGCGGCAGCGAGCAGAAAGAAAGCAGACTACATATCGTGCACAGCCACACTCCGGTTGCTAGACTTGACAGAGCGGCCGACGGCGAGCCACACGTTCCGCTTCCTACATACACACTTGCCCCCGCGCGTACAGAATATCGGCGTGCTCTTCATCATTGCCTCTAGTTCCTTCGAAACTGTCGACATGCACTCGTTGGTCATATGCCCAAGTACATATGTATGGTTTGCAGTATGTGAGGCGGTGCTCTTGCGGAATCTTGAAGACAGCTACTTTGCTTTCGGGGTTCGACGTGAGCATCGGTTTCTTTCGTACTGCATACCGAACGCAGCTATAGCAGCCCCAGCCGCCACAGCTCTGCCTGTTTCCCCAACCGCCTTGTCAGGACGTTGTGCAAGGTGTTTCCTGAACGGCAATCCCTCCCAATCGAAACTGTCTAGTCAGACCGCACATGGACATTCCCATGTCTCATGGGCACAGTAGTGATCGTGGTGAGCCGTTAGAACTGGGCAGTGCGGCCACGCGTCCTTGGTATCGGAGCGTGCTGGTGCTTTCGGGACTCCTCACCACGAAATACTACTTCATAGCTTTCAGAGTTTGGGCTACGCGACACTCTGTTATCCCGATGGGCGTGTCCATACCTATGAGATGAGGCCTGACGTGGACCAGGGAGCCTGTGACTCCAGTCCGAACGTTAAGGCTTCCGGATCAGGTGCCCCGTCCTGGAAGAGTTTTGTTAAGTCTCACACACCCGTTCAGCAAACCTAACAGCACTTGATAAGTCTACGTGCATGATGCTGATGACAGAGAACCTCACTCAAACTTCTATCGCAAACCTCTTATCGAAGCAAAAATAGAGCCGCACCCATCCACCCAAATTAAAGCTGCTCTAGGGACGAGAACACACCGCCGTCCGCTTCCCTTTGCTCGCGATGTTCGTGGTATCCACTAATCCAGGCGACGCCCAGCAGCCTCTTGCTTGCCATGAACGGCCCACAGGGTTGAAAGGGTTCTATTACAACCCCTACACGCAGGTGGCCATGCTCGGTCTGGTCTGCTTCACCTGCCCGGGCCTGTACAATGCGATGACAGGCCTGGGCGGGGGTGGGCAAATCAGCGCCACCACGAGCGCGAACGCGAATACGGCGCTGTACGCCATCTTTGGGTTCTTCGCTTTCTTCTCTGGGTACGTCATGAGCTAGTTCTTATGAAGCGCCTTCGTTAATTAGAGTGTGAGTTAGGTCTATTACGAACGTTCTTGGCCCGCGCCTCACCCTCTTTCTGGGTACGACGGGATACGTGCTGGGCCTTGGATCCTATCTGTCCGTCCAGTCCCCACCCACGTAACTCGGACACACAATTGACCAAGCTGTCATCATAGCGCGATGAATATCCATCCGAACGCTGCATGGTTTGTCATCACGGCGGGCGCAATTCAGGGTGTCTGTGCAGGTTTGCTGTGGACTGCCCAGGGTTCGCTCATGATGGCGTACCCAACCGATGCTCAGCGGGGCAAATCCATCAGTGTCGTTTGGACTATTTATAATTTGGGAGGTGTAGTCGGCGCTGCTGTATCTTTGGGCGAGAACATACATCTCAAGGTATGTCATGTGTCGTAGCCTCCGTTCGCTGGATAAGCGGCTCACGCCTCGGGTGTAGACCAATTCGGGTAAGTTGATCGGATGCCGAAGACTCACGACTCTTCGTACTGAGTGATCCGTCGTCGTGCTAGTTGGGAATGGTACCTATGTATGTCTCCACGGAGAACAGCCGCGTCGGCTCGGGTCTGACATATGAAACTACTCCCCAGATTGGCCTCATCGTGTTGAACGCTCTCGGAATGGCAGTCCCTCTGCTCATGGTAGACCCGCAGAAGATGATACGCAGCGACGGGACCAAAGTGACAACGCCGCGACAGCCGACCTGGAAATCTGAATTCTACGGCCTCTACTATACACTGAAGACGGATCCTATGGTGCTGTTTTTGTTTCCTTCCTTCTTTGCTAGCATCTGGTATTACACCTGGCGTAAGTCTCCCTCCCGGTACATATGGGAAGTGGGTACTGATTGAAATGAATAGAATTTAATGACTATAATGCCGCCCTCTTCAACATCCGAGCGCGTTCCCTGAATAATCTAGTGTACTGGATCGCCCAAATACTGGGTGCCGTGGCGATAGGCTTTTTCCTGGACCAGCAATGGTTAAGTCGGAGATTCCGAGCGTTCTCTGGATGGGTTATCCTCCTCTTTCTGGTATTCCTCGTTCATTCATGGGCTTTCGTCTACCAGAGGTAGGCAATACATGTTATTGTACCCGAAAGAATACACTAATGCCAGGGATACAGGCAATATACACGCCAGTCAATTCCCCCAGATTCCGTGAAGATGGATATATATGACAAGGGGTATCCCGCCAAGATCTTGTTATACATGTTCTGTGGCGCTTTAGATGCCATATGGCAAACCGCATTCTATTGGGTCCTTGGCACTATGTCCAGTGATCCTGGTAAGCTTGCTCATTTTGCCGGATTCTGTGAGCATCCAGATTTCCTCTTGATTGGAATCACGGTTTACTTGTGATATCTCCTCCCTGCGTAGATAAATCCATTCAGTCCGCTGGTGTTGCTGGCGCTTTCCGAGCTGATGCTGTTGGAATACCGTGAGTAGAGTCTCCGGCAGTCCTAGTGAGAAATATTCAAGACATGACCAGCTACATGAACATCTTCCTTGCAATGTGGTGTCTACTGGTTGTTGGTTTACTCTTCGCCCTGCCGATGTTTTACTTGCGGGTCGAGAATTCGCCGCTTCCGGATGCCTCGGAACACTCTCAGTACGTTGCGACGCATCGGATCGCTGACTTCAGAGCTTCACGCTAAACACATCCATCACAGAACGTCCTATACCGGAGCGGAGGATATTGCGATTAAGGACAAAGATGAGGCAGAAGTCTCGATTAGCCCAGCGTGAAGAGGCATGTCCGAGATCATCCGACCGATTTAATTCTGTATGCTAGCAACATAGGTGAAAGTTTCTCACATACCTTGGACCCTGATACAAGTCTCGTGAGTGTATGCCAGCCCCGGGGTCAGAGAGCGCCCAGATCAACCCTTTTCTCGTTCCTCATTGCTTGCAAATCGGATTGACGAGACAAACGTCAAGACTCATGGGATATGATCTATGATACATAGGTATAATGACCCCAGGTCACGGCAGGGTCGATGTACATCGATTTACAGGATCGGGTGCAAAATGAGCCAAGCAACTATACTTACAATGTTCTATAGGCCCATAGGGATACAGAGGTATGAGGTTCAGGCAACTACCAATACACTTATCGCATTGGAAGCTTCAATCGGAACTTTACTCCTGGGCTTCTAAAGAGGTGTTGCTTCCCCTTCGCCTTGCAGTCAGTCCAAGGATCTCGTCGGCTTCTGGGGATCCTGCAGGTGGCAGATCTTTGCGGAACGATACTTTGACAGGCGAGACCCCCTCATTATACGCTACTGCGTAAACGATATCCATATCTGGGTGGCATGGGTAACATCAGGATACGGCTGGACCGCTAGGAGGGCGCAAGGTTTTCTCACCTTCAAGGGAGCGTCCTGCTGTCTCCGGGAAGAAGAAATATACGACCGGTACAATGAGGAAGTTGAGTACAGCAAATACTGGAAAGGTACCAAGACAGTCAATACATGAACATGTCTCGAGTGACGAGACGTACCAAGATAGGTACCCCAGTTGATGCTGTTAAAAGCCGGTCCTACTATCATAACAACCAGGAAATTGAATGTCCAATTCGACGCAGTACTGAGAGCATTGGCAGGGGCTCGGATACCAATGCCGACAATCTCGGCGGGCTACGCAAGGTTAGTACCCAGCTGGAAGAGATGAAGGCACCTTCATGCTTACGTAGAGCCATCCCATTCCAAGCCAACCCAGGGCAAAGAAGGTATTGAACCCAAACAGTAGAACCGCAGACACAACTTGCGCGGCTGTTGTATCTATAGCGCCCAGGATGGCGAGCAGGGCCATCGTGAGGCAACACCCAGCCGTTCCAATTAGCATCAACTTGCGACGCCCTGCGCGGTCGATGAAGTAGATTGCCAAGAAGCTAGCCATGAAGTATTCGGTGCCATTGCAAGCAGCTACGATGCGAGAATCCACTCCGTTCATACCAAGACGCTGGAACAGGACAGTCTAGGTGTGATGTAAGGGAAAAATACTACTCAATTCATGTGAATAGGCCACCTACCGCGTAACTATGAGAAGCCGTCAGTGCCTGAGCCGAATAGGAGAGGACAGACTACGTACTAGCTGACCAAGTTGATGCCGGTAAGTTGCTGTACGGCTTGACAAACGACCCCGGTTGCAGCGCGGCGGAAGTTTTGACTTCTACCACCCCTGAACAGTTCTTTCAGTGACCCCTTGCTCAAGTCACCTTCCGCCGCGACAGCTTCGCGGATGCCCACGAATGTCGCTCGAACTTCCGGGTCAGTCGGAGGTTTGTCGTCGATAGCAGAGAGGATTGCCAGGGCTTCTTCATTGTAACCTTGCTTGACTAGCCTGTTCCGAACGACAGTCAGATGATGTAGGTTCTGACGAGACTCAACTTGTTGCTCACCATCTGGGCGACTCAGGTAGCTATAAGTTATGCTTCGTCAACATCCTAGCCCATATGGGAATAATGTTAATCGAGGCAGTACTCACGAACATGATGCCTCCGATCATGATGAGCTCTAGAATTATCTGTAAGGCAATCGGAATCCTCCATTGCAAGGGAGAGCCTGTCGCGAAATAGCTGACCACAAGCACCCGTAAGTACTCGGGCACTGCGCAAGGGATCCTGCCTCACCAAGCGAAGTCAATCCACTGTCGAAATTGAGGCGATGTTAGCGAAAGAATACTGAACAAACACCGAGGTCCCTTACGTATCTGATTCCCGAATTGGGGTACTTACGATAGAGTTAGACCTAGCGTGATCATGGTCCCTTCGAACATGATAAAACTGCCTCTGCTAGAAGCATGAGAACACTCGGCATGGTATGACGGTACAGTAGATGTCTGTTGAATCGCTTGTATCAGCAAGAGCTCCAGGTCCAAGCATCTTCCTTCGATGGTACGCACGTTTAAGCCGTTACCAAAGCCTGTGACGATCCGGGCGACGACCATTTGCGCGTAAGAGTATGAGGTGGTCTGTAGGACAGCACCGATAATCATGATCACGCCTCCAACGAATATGGTGCGTCTGCGTCCCAGCCGGTCACCGATCCAAAGGTTAGAGAGTGCACCAAAAAGGCAACCTATTTCCTGTAGCAGACCGTGGTCAGAGCTTCACGTTTGGGCATGCTAAGCTTGACATACATAGATAGCCACAATGAAGCTTTGTAAGGTAGCATGATTGGGATGTGCTGAATCTACGACGACTTCGGGAAAAGTCGCTTCGAACTATGTCCACGTTAGATACATTGGAACTATAAACACGCCCGCATGAATACCTGATTGCCAGTAAGCAACGCCGACATGACTCCTTGATCATAGCTGAGCGCGAAGGTATGAGCATCGCAATTAGTGGAGGGTGTGATCCTGTAACTTACCCGAAGAGAGTAAAGCCGACTCCAGCAATGAAAGCCAGAACTGTCCTCAGCTTTCGTCCGCGCCATCTGGGAGCCCTTGAGGCGACGTCGGCTTCGAACTCGGATGCGGGTTTATCTGTGATATCCTCCAGGCGGACGTCGGGGGAGCGCTTCCCCTGCTTCTCAGAGTCGTGCGCGACCGAACTTGGTGCAGACATGTCAGTAGATAGAAGCCTGCGTGTGTCTTGACGGACTGTTGCGATGATTGACAGGAGTCAATGCGCCAACGCAGATTGCTGGCAAGATGGCAAGAGGAGTCGAGGTGGATCTCGTTTATATACCTGAGCTCCATTTTTGACCAACTCGAGTTATCGTTGAGGAGCGAGGGAAGTAGCGGCACCTAGAGGCATGACGAAGAGTATGACCTGACTACAGTGCTCCCAAAGAGAAGGTGAGAAAGGGTGTAAGCTTGAGTCCGTGTCGTGGAGATGGTGGCGCACTAGGACACCCAGTTCTGTCTCCCGCACGACAATAGACGCGTATCAGGGCCCTGCAGTTAGTCTGGCAGAAGAACAGGAATGCAAGTCCGTACCCGTTGCTCTAAGCGTCCTTCGCACATCCCTAAGCTTGCGCTATCGGCAGCCCAAAAGATAGAGCATGTGCCTACCTTCTGACGACATGCGAAGGCAGTTCAAATATAAACGTGAGGTAGGATGGCATTCACCACAGTTCGCGAGGGTTATCGTCGGCAGTATGTGGCGCAGGTGACTATAAAGGCATGTAGTTTACTTGCACCGCTACTCTGTGGCTTCTCGAAGCACAACATTCATATAGGAGCCTCGGCCGGAGCCACGAGAAGGAGCACAGCCACGGGTGAGGACGAGTATGGGATGACTCCAAGGGTAGCGGATCGGAGGACCGCGCGAAGAGACCCGTTGAGTGAACGAATATATTCCGTCCCTCCTATATCCACAGCAAATAAAACCAATGGTTAGATAATGGGTACCTTGAAGTCGATCTTTGCTAGCTTGTCTAGTCTCTCCTTCGTCACCTGGAAGCACTCCGGGAGACCCGTGTCCGCCCAACTACCCCCCTTCATTAGCTTTACGAGGCCCGGCGCAGAGGTGAATATACGTGCCTGTAGATGAAGAAAGTTAGTAGGTAGGCATGGAACAAGGTAAACCGCCGTCTGCGTACCATCCCGTGGCCGTTATGACCAGCACATATCCACTGCCCAGGCTTGCCAGGTAAAGGTCCTATGTAGGGAACGCCATCCGCACTCTATGGTGGGAATAGATGTGTCAGAGAACCGCGCACATTGCAAGACAGTTTGAAAACACGTACTCGGCCGATGATACCACTCCAGCTGTAGTCGTAGCCTTGTCCGGGAGACGTCTTCTTGTCCCTGAGCAGTCGAACAGTGGTCAGGGAAAGCTTCTAGATACTGTGATGCACAGGTTTACCATCCAAACTCCTCCGTCGCGAAGTCAATGACTGCTTGAGTAACCGGCTCGAAATTCGATAGGCTATCGTCCGTCCGTCGGTCCGGGTTCTCGTCAAGGTACTTCAGAAGATGGTGTTGGTTCGGGTTGCTGCCTGAAGCAATACCCATCATTTACATCGAGTCCTCACGAGCAGAGTAGTCTCAGGCACTTACCTCCAAAAAGTACTATACCATCGGTGTTCGCTCGAGGGTTGATAGAAAAGAGTGCGCCGCCCGGACACAGAACACCATACGAGTTCTGCAGGGTTTTTGTCCCGGCGAACGATCGTGGCGGGATGGTCTTGTTACACCTAACATATCCCGCGAGTCAAGAGCGACCCGATCTGCGCGGAAGAGGAACTCACATATGCGGCGTCGGTCGAATGACGTTCTGCAGCTCGGGAAGCAGAGCAGCGGCATACGCATTGGTCGCGTGGACAACCGTGGGGGTAACGACGTCCCCTCTCTCGGTCCTCACCACCCACTTCCCGTCTTGCGACGGCGTCGCCTCTACACCCGTGACCGGCGTCCACGTCTGGAGGTTCAAACCCAAGGCCAAAGACAGCTTAATGATGTGTGCGACGACCTTCCAGGGGTAAAGCGTCGACGCGTCCCATGCGAACACCGAGACGGCATTCTTGATGCGGGAGCGCTTGACGGCTTCGTCTCTGTCTGTGATGTGCTCGATGTGCGAGGTGGGCCCACCGGCTGCCTTGAAGCGGTTGAAGGTGTCGGCGGCCAATGCAGCGACTTCCTCGGTCATGGCCACATCAAGCTGTGCGCAGGTGGATGCCTTAGTATGATATTGTAGCTGAGAAACGGGACATAGACGTACAGTCTTCCCTACCCATAGGTCACAGTCTATCTTCTCCTCGCGGATGAAGGCAACTAGGTGCTCCCAAGTGTCTTGCTCATTCGCTAGGATCTAGCATGATTACGAGTCAATAAGAAGTAATGGTAGAGAAAATGTCGATCTGACCTTCAGGGCCTGTTCGGCACCAAACATCTTCTCATACTTTGCAAATCCTCGCCACTAGAAAGCCTTAAGCTCCGAATAAGAAGCAGGGGAGGCTCAGCATACGTACCTGATCCGGCTTGCAATGACCAGCATTGCGCCCAGTGGCCGCAGAACACAACTCTCGTGCTTCAAGCAGGAGAACGCTCTTTGGAGGGTTGTCGCCCTTCAGTAACTCATATGCGGTAAGTGTGCCTGTCATCTGTGTACATTCTGTTAGACGTGGCATGGAATAAGGTGCGGCCTGACGTACCCCGGACCCGATGATGACCACTTCCGCTTCCTTGGGCAAATCCTCCGTTGTCCGATGGTCGAGCAGGGGGTTCGCCCGTACCCCTTGCAGCCAATATGACAGGGACATACCCTCTGCGAGCGGCAAGCTCGTTGTAGGTGATACGGACGCCTCTATAGCTTGCGCTGGGCCAGTCAGAGATTCATCGCCGACGCTGGGTAGGTCGTTTGCCATGGCAGATTCAGTAGAACTGGAGCCCCGTGATGTGTTCCCCATATAATGCCTACTATGATTGTGGCGGTCCTCTCGTACTTATCACAGAGTTTATCGGAACGTTATCTTGTGGATTACATGGCCGCGCCGCTCAGCCGCTTGACGAGCGATACGAAATATCTTCGGCAGTTTAGAGGGGATGGAAGGGAAGCCGATCTGCAAAGTGCCTGGCCTGAACCTGGTCATGACATCGGCATCGTCGGACGATAGACGTAGATCTCGATTTGACGTAGTATTCGAGCGGCATGGCCATCACTGGCCGCTCGCTAACTTGCCGCAAAGGCGAAAGACTCGCGGGCCGCTGACTCGCCAAACGGTCAGCGGGTGGTGTCATTCGCATTCAATAGTTTGAAGGAGTAGTTCACATCGGTAATGCCAACGCTACAGTCAGTTCGGAGAGTGTTGCTGAATTTAATCATATGTACGCTGATAGACTGACAGGATTTCAAGTTCCAGGTCAGGGCATTCGAAGTTCCTGATATTGGTATCCTGCTGCCCCTTTCCGCCTCAGATACGAGCAGCTGCATCTCGACAACCGCCAGGCAAAGATAAGATAGTTGATATGAATATTACTATCACTTATCGCATGCCGCCCCATCCCGTCTCCGCTCCAGGGGTAAATGTTCGAGTGCTTATGAACCCGCGCATGGTCGAGAGTCACTTCCGTGTCCCCTCTTCCGGAAATCGCGAAGCATCAGAGCCTAGACATGGATAGAAAGGAGAGCATGTCCTCGGTTGACGCGGAGAAGGGTCCCTCGCCAGTGGTTGAGGTCGACGCCGTCGACGAAGGCCGACGGGAATATGACTTCACGCCGGAAGAAGTGGACGCCTACGAACTCGATCCCGAAGTGTCCAAGGCTGTCCGCAGGGCGTACGTGTCCACTTCCCATATCTCACCAACCTATACTAACTTAAAGTTTGGCTATGCTCAGCTACGACCGACGGATCATGCCCGTGATCTTCTTCATGTACCTCTTCTCGGCTCTCGACAGAGGTAACTTGGGAAATGCGAAGACGGACACCCTCGAACAAGATCTCCATCTCGTCGGGAACCAGTACAACAATGTCCTCACCGTGCTGTCTCTGATGTTTGCTACCATGGCTATATGCGGTGGCTTCGTGACGAAGAGGTTCGGGCCTCCGCGGATGCTCCCTATTTACATGCTCGGGTGGGGCTCAATGGCCATGATCGTAAGTTGTTATATCTTCATTGCGTAATTTCTCTGGCTAACCCTGTACGCAGAACGCTGCTGTCAAGGTAATTTAACGACTGCTGACAATTGGAGAGAAGTGCTGACATTTCGACAAGGACTATGGCGGGATCGTCGCGGTTCGATTCTTCTTAGGTACCTTTGAAGGCTTCTTCGGTCCGTCTGTGCCCATCTACCTCTCCTCCTTCTACACCCGTGGGGAGCTCGCAAAGAGACTGGCTATCTGGTATTCCAGCACGGCCCTTTCCGGTGCCTTCGCTGGCCTTTTGAGCTACGGGTAAGCATCACGCCCAGTGGCGTCCACACTAGCCCTGACACGCGTTGGTCCTAGTATTTTCCAGATTAAGGGTAGCATGTCTGGGTGGCGGATACTGTTCCTCCTGGAAGGAGGCTTGACGATCTGCGTTGCTATCATTGCCATGTACGTTACGTGGCGCGACGGGCTCCGCCATGCGCAGCTCTCATTGATATCCCTTCAGATTCATCTTGCCGACATACCCCCAGTACGTCGACTTCTTGACACCCAAGCAGAAGGAAGCTGCGGTTGTGAGTAGCAATTACTATTTGTCATCTGCGTGTCTTCGAGCTGACATGAATCTTCAGATGCGTCTGCTGAGTACGCTCGAACAGACCTCTGGGCATTGGGCGTGTATCTGACTTCAGTATAGAGGATGCATCGAAGAGGGTTGACGCTCCTTTCAACGCACGTGAATTCTTTGCTCCTGCAAAGGAGTGGAAATTCTACGTGTTCATAATCTTTGCCCTCGTATGTCTCCTCATGATTTCCTGCAGGCGACCAAAACTAACTGCTTCTCCCTTCAGTGCTACGGAACAGCCTCATCGTCCGTCCCTCTCTTCCTCATTCGTTACTGAGTCTGACATCTGCTCTCGCGCAGGACGGCGACGACCTTCCTACCGCAGCTCATCGGTCGCTTCGGCTTCTCGAAAGTGAAGACGAACTTGTACACCGTGGCACCGAATGTCGTGGCCGCGCTGTACTTGTACTTGCTGGCATTCATGTCCGACAAAGTCCGGCAGCGCACGCCTTTCCTCGCGTTGGCGCTGGGCACGACAATGATTGGTTGTATAATGCTAGCGGCACTACCCCTTTCGGCTACGGGGCCTGGGTATTTTGCGTGCTTCTTGATCCAGGTATGCTGTTTGATTGTGCGCTTTAGGAAGGAGAATGCTGTTACTGACAGCTTGCAATAGTGCGGTGCCTTCGTGCCCACGAGCTTATTCCATTCATGGTATGTTCAGCATCTTGTTCAGCGTTATCGGACATCAGTCAATTCCTACGATCACCATTAGGCACAACAACAATGACCCTTCGGAGAACGGTCGGGCTTTCAGAACGTACGTTCATATTTCACTAGTCCATAGCATCCAGCTGACACGGAGGCCCTTTAACAGGGGATTCCTGACGTTCTCTGCCAACGCCGGCTCGCTCATTTCTTCCAACATCTTCCTGGACTCCTGGGCCCCGAAGTACACCAAGGCGCTCATCATCTCTGCGTGCCTGCAAGTTCTGGGGATCACACTTGTCCTTAGCATGCGGACGTACATGGCCCTGGACAACAGGAGGAGAAACAGGAAGCAGGGCGTCAATTGGGTGAGTGATGCAATCGAGGATGTTTTCTAATAAAGCTGACCGAAGTGCCCCGACGCAGACTTCAAAAGATGTCCCGACGGCTGTCCTTGCCGAGGGACCGAAGAATCCCAGCTTCAGGCATTTCCTCTGAACTGTACGACTGCACTATTGAATCTCTTATAGACTTCACGTATCTCTGTCGTAGGTTGTTGTGTGTATGTATCATGGTATTAGATTTTCGTCAACTTATCCTCGTCCGTCTCACGTCTGAAGGGAGGCAGTGATGTGCATTTGACCATTGCCCAGTGTCCATGGTTATGGGCGGATCCATTTCGATATAGTCGACAAAGAAGATATTCAATACGACAACACAATCATCACTTTGCAATATGCTCGTTGAACCACTGCAGATACTTGAGATTAGAATGATCCAGTTAAATATCTTGCGGCAAGACCAACCTGGACAAGGAACTTCGATGACTCCTTCGGATAACGCTTTAGCGTCCCGTAGTCCACGTATGTGACCCCAAAACGGATAGTATAACCATCGGCCCTACAGACAATCATCAGGGTACACCTATGAACCGAGTTCGAATCTCGAACCATTCAAAGTTATCAAGCAGGCCCATAGATGCATTGCGGCGTCAGAAGGGCACGAAAATGGGAATATGATACGACGTACTCCAAGCGAAGTAACCTTTGACATCCTCACCCTCTTTGACGGCGTCAAGCAGAGCTTGGGTATATTGTTGATAATACTCGAGTCTGTCCTTATCCTGGAGGGCTTGCTCAAGCGACATGGTGTCTTCATTTTGCACCGCGAAACCATTTTCTGTGACGCTGAATAAACATGTGTCAGAATACGAAGGACGTGTGGATCACGGAAAAGCAAGTACTAGATGGGCTTCTTGTACGTCTGAAAGAGCGCCATACTTAAGGAGAGCTGATCAGGTAGCATCTTTCAGCGTACCTCCCAAATGTATTTGAGGAGCTTTATGCCGAGGTGAGCGCAAGAAGTAATGAAACCTCGAAGCTAGGCAGAATGATAAGACGTACATGATAAAGACCAGAGCCATCTTCAAAAACAGTCAAATATCGCTACTCACAAACATCAGTACGACTCACACGTTTGAAGCCACGGCGCCGCCGCTTCAATTGAACAGTGAAATGAGTCGCTGCAAAGCAGAGAAATATTTTCAAACGTACATTGCGTCCCAAGTTGGGTCCCGTCTGGTTTGGTGTGCGTGGTCTTCACCTTCCCGTTCCATTCATTGTCCCCTCCCTCCACTATAGGAATAAGAGTCGTCAGTTTTGGGTTGTACCTTAGGTTAGAAATACCTACGAGTGAGATGTGTGGTGTAGGTATTTAGCCCAAAGAAGTCCGATGAATTGCGAATCACGGCCTTCTCGTCATCCGTGAATTTAGGCAGGCGACCGCCAATCATTTCCTTGAGCACCCCAGGGTAGTCGCCCTTATAGATTGGATCCTGTTGCGAACCCGGTCAAGGGACGCTTGCCCAAGCAGGTGGTGGATGGAATGTTCACGAACCGCATACCACCCTGGTCCGATTATATAAGAATTCAAAGAAATACCAAGGCATGGGGAACTCACTCACCTTAGTACACCTCGATAGCCCGTTTCGCGGCTACAATATCTATGATATAGTAAGTACTACGAGCAACAACCCGCTAAACCCGCAGAGATTGGCCTGACTTTCGGCTTTGTCGTCGTAGGGCATGTACCAGTTCGTATTTAAGGTGATTCCTATCTGGCCACCTTGAATCGGCGCAAACTTTTCCCTGTAGAGTTTTGCGGTGTACGCGTGGGCTAGTATTAGATTATGCGCTACGCTGTGAAGATATCTCAGAACTTGCGGGACCGCAAGGGCGTCCAAGCCTCATCTTTCATCTTACGCACAGCCAAGGCTCGCAACCCGAGTCGCCACTGGGTGACTTTGCCCGATCGCTGCAACGGCCTGGGGCAAAGACCCCTGTCCCGTAGCCGAGGACCGCTACGCACCATGGCTCGTTATGGGTAAACCTGCCGGACCTTGCATCAGATTGGTAGCAATTCTGGTACAGAGAACATGTACCAGTGCTTGACAAGATCCCCAAAGTTTTCGAAGCAAACTTGCGCATAATGAACATAATCCTTTATGATCTCGTCCTTGTTGAGCCACCCCAGGTACTGGTCGTGGAGACCCTGCGGCAAGTCCCAGTGGTACAGAGTCTGAAGGGGTTCTGATCGGGAGAATCAGGCTTGTCATCCTTCCGTACTTACGACGAAGGGCGCGATATCATTGTCCAACAACTCCTGGATAAAACTTCGGTAGAACCGTATCCCGTCCCGATTGACTTTGTCATTGCGACCACCCAAAGGAATGATTCTCGACCATGATAGAGAAAAGCGGTAGGACTTAACGCCATACGATTTCAGTACAGCTATGTCCTCCTTCCATAGTTTGTAGGAATCGGTCGCCACATCGCCGGTGCTGCCGTCGCGTATTTTCCCCTGAATGCGGGTGAATGTGTCCCAGATAGATGGACCCCGACGCCCTTCGTTAGCGGAACCTTCGATCTGGTAACTAGCTGTGATATAGACAGTTATGATACATGTATCACGATGTATGAAAAGGTCGGTGGAGAACTGGTTTTACCTGTGGCAAATCCCCACAGAAAATCTCCGGGAAGTGTTGGTGTCATTCCCGTCATATTGCGTCGCAATGGTCGGCGCCGACGGAGGTTCCTCAAGCGCTCAAGTCCAAGACATCGTCCTTAAATGTGCTCTATGGCCAGCTACGGTGCCGTCCTATAGCGGCGATTCGTCGGTACTTTGCAACGGGGATCATTAGGGATGTCGACATGACCAGTCTGCGTAGCACGGGACCTCTGATAGTACAAGAATGCGAAACTGTTAGAGATGTAGAAGGACTATTAATATTGAGGAGAAACTTGAAATAGCTGGAAGTGTAGCAATGCGGGTATATGCTGCGGGTTGCAAAGCCTGAAGAATTCTCACGCCCTACGCCACCCGGAAGGTTGCTGCCGCGACATGCCCGGGGCACTGCCCAAACACCGCGAATTTCGACTGGGCGGAGCACTTCCTTTCCGCGAGGCACGCAAGCCCCAAGTTGCTTGCAAGTAAGTCACCCCAACTTGAAGCTTGAACGTCCTGACAGTACTACATACTGAGCGTCAAACATCCTCATGCCCCAGGCTGCTCGGGCGCTCTCCTCTGTACAACGGTATAACTCGGGGAGCTTGGGTTCAGCGTATGACGATCGTACAGACTTCGGACAGGACTCCCGACGGCTATCTGCCATCCTACTCAATAATGACTCAGTCTATGGGAGACTAAGTAGTTGAGCGACGGATGGAGAACCAGTTGCTCACTGGGTTTCTCAAATTTGTCGGAGTCATGATGTTGATCCAGGAATCAGAACAATGTACATGCCCCAAACGAGCGTCGGCTCCGCGCGGTTACCTTAACTGCTCGCGCGGATGTGTTCGCTACGTTCTAGCCCGCATACACGCAGTGCAGCATTACACTGGAGGACTGCTATGCCATCCCACTAGGAATCGAAAATGGCAGGTCTCTTCAGAAGTAGGAACGGCCCGAAGGAGTCCTGCATGGTGGCTATGTGCGTATTTCCTATCGATCCATACTGACTGTCAGCGACCCAATACTGAACCCTTTCTCGTTCATAGTCGCCGTCTCAGTGGGCCGGAGAACTCCACGTCTCTGACTCAGACAGCTGTTATTTGCATAGTAGAGCGCTGAGGATTCTCACTGCAGATCTGCCGACATTTTGTCGTTGAATGACTTTGAGCCTACCATATACATAGGCGCTCGTCGCTGTGCAAGCGCCCGAGTATGCTACCAATGCAGGCACAGCTGGCCCTCAATTTGGCTTCTGAAGGAGGATAAATAGGTACGTCTTACCTTGAGAAATTATCCCAGCAGTCGCCCACCCCCTCTACCCTCCTCACAATGGCTCAAGTGCTTTCCGTCGTCGAGGATGGTCGTAAACCTAATGGGATTAAGGGAGTATATCAAAGTCCATATGCTCAAGTGTCCATGCTTGGCCTTGTTTGCTTCACGTGTGCTGGGCTGTATAATGCGATGACCGGTCTGGGAGGGGCAGGGCAGGTCGACCCTAGAACAAGCGCGAACGCCAATTCGGCTTTGTATGCTGCACTTGCATTATTATCAGTCTTTGCAGGGTAGGATCGTTGCTCGGATTGATGCAAGAACTCGGCTAAGTATGTCTCTGTGCATAGATCTGTCATGAATATGCTCGGTCCGCGGCTCACACTCTTCCTCGGCACCACGGGATACGTCCTCGGTCTCATATCATACTTGTGCGTTTGTTCCTTATGCTTTCCCAACCGATGTTTGACATGTGTACGGTAGGGTGATCAATATTAATCCCAATGCCGGTTGGTTTGTCATAACGGCAGGCGGGATCGAGGGTCTCTGTGCCGCCCTTCTTTGGACGGCCCAGAGTACCCTCATGATGGCATATCCTACAGACTCCCAGCGTGGAAGATTCATCAGTATCTTCTGGGCTATATATAACTTAGGAGGGGTCGTAGGCGCTACTGTATCCCTCGGTGAGAACATTCATCTCAAGGTGTGTACAATGCTGGTTTGCGATTGGTACTTGGATACTGACACTATTGGATGGTTTGCAGACGAACTCTGGTGCGTTGCGGTAACCTCCGGCCATTCTAGTTTCCGACTAATCTGCTTCCGCAGTCAGCAACGGGACTTACGTGCGTCCTGAATGGCACGCTCGCATGCGTTTTGGCTGAAAAACACATTGTTTGCCCAGATCGGTCTCATTACACTGAACACTGTAGGCATGGCGGTCCCACTCATCATGGTAGACCCAAATCGCATGTATCGCTCCGATGGTACCAAAGTCACCACCCCTCGTCGTCCTTCCTGGAGATCGGAACTTCATAGTCTATATTTCTCGCTCAAGAGCGATCCCATGGTGCTTCTTCTCTTCCCTATGTTTTTCGCGAGTAATTGGTACTTCACCTGGCGTATGCATCTTTTCAGACGACGATATTATTGTCGGGACTGACGTTCTCATCATATCCGTATAGAATTCAACGACTATAATGCTGCCCTATTCAACATCAGAACACGTTCTCTCAATAATCTCGTCTACTGGGTCTCGACCATCCTCGGTTCCATCCTTATCGGTTTCGTCCTGGATCAGCGCGGGCTTACTCGACGCCTCCGAGCGTTCTACGGATGGGGGATACTTATATCACTCACCTTCATCGTTCACGTCTGGGCATTTATCTACCAAAGGTAATTATAAGGATAAGTTGGGCTTCTGGGGATGACCCGTGACTAAGGCTGATTACCCAGAAACTATACCCGAGAGTCCATACCTGTCAACTCGCTCAAGATGGATATATTCGACAAGGGATATGCAGGCAGAGTCTTGCTGTACGGGTTTTGCGGTGCACTCGGTGCAATGTATCAGAGTTTCGTTTACTGGATCATGGGCGCTATGACCGACGATCCCGCGAAGCTGGCTTACTACGCGGGATTCTGTACGGACGCCATCATGTGTGCTCGGTGATATCGGCGACTAATCAGAGCGTTCAATCGTAGATCACTCAATGCAATCCGCAGGTGCCGCGGGCGCTTTTGGGGCCGATGCTGTGGGCTTACCGTACGTGTTTCCGCCCAACTTACAGCTGGGTATGCCGTGATGCACTGATGTCTAACTTGTGGTAGTTATATGAACATATTCCTTTCCACCTGGGTTCTATTGGTAGCAGGACTGGTTGTAGCCTTGCCGATGCTCTACTTTCGGGTCCGTAATGCTAGTGACGACACCGGGTGCTCAGAGTAAGTCCTTTTCCTTTGGAGTCATTGGTACCTCCTCTTGATATTAACCTCATCTCCTGCTAAGGCCTCCGATGCCGAAGTCCGTGGTTATCAGTTCCGTCGCCGAGAAAGAGGACGCTGATACTTAAGACGAGAAATTGTGGCCCTGCTCCTAGAGGCATCATATTTGTGCCATTACTGTATACTCACCGGCGGAGAACACAAATGCCCGTTCACTGCTGCGATCGGTACAGGTTGTGTGGGGAAAGGCGTTACAGATGCCACAGCCTGAGTACATCGCTTCCCTGGACAAACCGATGCGCAATTTCTCGTCGGCCGTTCGCAGTGGGATAAGCAGCATGGGACAAATGATACACAGAGAGAAACCACGCGCACACTCTTCGATGCCTTCCTCTCAGCCTCTTCTTTCATGAGGCTGCCATAGAGACTGGTTACAAGCCGAGGTGATTTTGGAGTTGGGGCGGGGCCGGTGGTAAAGTAGTATTTGGAGCTTCATACACGTGGATATTAGATTTAGCGTTAGCTCTTTAAGATGAAACATGAATGAAAGCAACAAGGAAAGGTTGTTTGTCGGTTTCCGCCGCCACCTGCAATGTTACCCACAAGCAGCAACAAATACGCCGCCACATCTGGGCTCCGTGTGCACCCGAGAGAGCATCCACGTATAACGCACTGCGTTCGATTACCTTCCATCTCATCGTCTAGCTATATAACGGTTGCCCAGACGCGACTGTATATCAGAATATCCTTGCTGGAAGTGTCTGGCACGATTCTATCGACTTACCTGGACAGATGCCACCCGAAAATTACGAAATAAGACGACTTTCGGATGGAACCGCCTTGAAAATCTCGCCCGACCTGGGCGTCGCTGGTCGAGCAACAACTAGACGGGAAACATGAAATCGCGAACGACCAAAAATACTTAAACTCTGCTTCGCGTCGAGCTCCCTGCTTTGTTCCTATCTGTTCATCGACGCAGGGCCTAAGTCTTTAGAAAGGCCGACAGGCTTTGGCACGGCTTGCTGCACTTGCGTAATGGATGCTTCCATCCTCCTTTCTCCGTCATGGAGCGATATTGGACTCTGGGCCACGTTGAACAGTTTTGCCTTACGTGCCTCAGTGTATTCGAACCTCATGGCCCAGCGTCTGGCCCCTGGTTTTCATGCTGTTTGCCGCTAGCTCTTCCCTTCACTATTCCTGCCGGCTTGTCCATAATATGCTCGTCGCGCGAAAGACGTCTCTATTTAAGTCTCGGATCAGGCGTTCAAGAGTCTGGAAAGGCGCCAAGGCTGACTGAACTGGAGCCGTCCATCGCACTGAGTGTCAGCCCGGCGAGTCACGGCGATAGCGACTTCTTGTGATCGTATTTACTCGTTCAAGGATGTTACCCAAATTGGTAAGTCTACGCACATCGGCTCCCTCACATTCATCGCGGAAACCTTGTCAGCAAAGAGATAGTGTCGGAACGTAACAATATTGTGATTCACTAAACGGAGTCGCGTTATTTGCAGGGAAAGGCGCCTGATATCCGGGTTTGCACCACATCGGCTTTTCGGTCTTACTGACTTAGAATCCCTGTGAACGGTTCTCATGAACGCTGGCCTGTTGATTGTCAGTTACTATTTACTGTCGGTGGGTTGCCCGCCCTTCGGAGCTTCGAGAAGCGGAGTTAGCAGCGGTCGTGCCATCCGCTGACCAGTCTTCGTCGTTCCATACCATGGCACGAGCCTCACCATCGGTGGCGCTATGGGACTGTACCATCCCTCTGTTTGCTTCGTGGCGGTTTTGCGTACTGAAATGTACTCACCGCCCTTGGCAGGGCTCATAGTGAGTTGGTGGATTCTTGGTCTGTCTCAGTATCTCGGAGACTGACAGTTAAAGGAGTCCGCTCGGTGTCGAGGATTGGATAGTATATGTGGATCTCTTCGTGAAGCACGGGCTATGCCTAATCCAACATTCAAGATCGCACGTCCGCACTCAGTGGAGTGCGGGGTAGTGTTGACAAGGAACAGTGATATGGCCGTGCCCTCATTCCACGGATTCATTCTTTCATTTCGCGAATATGGATGAGATGCCCTCGTGAGACGGATTCTGACGTTCGCGATCTCCACAAGTCTTGAAGTCTCATTGGAGTTCTCTACTATCCCTTTGCTTGAGGGTACACCCCGAGCATGATCTTTCAATCAAGGGTTGCTTGACGCGCATCCAAGAAAAGCTAATCTCCCATGCACCGCTTTACATTCGCATCTCCGATAGTCAAGGCGGCTATACTTCGATGTCAGCACGTTATCATGAACGTTTCAGAAAATCATGGGATGAGTGAGGTAGACTCAGGGTAGTCGCGACGGTGCGGTCGACGTCGCTCTACTAGCCAGAACAAAGAATCGTAGGCCTGGAAACGGCACAAGTTTTATTTAGGTTCGAGCCCTTGCCCGATCCCTGTGTGTCTCCGCGGCCAAAAGGGTCGACCTGGGAGACGCTGTTTGTGCCGAACACTCTCGGAGACCCAAAGCAGACTCCACAAGTTGTGCTTCTTTGATCATAATTAGGCGTCTCATGAGCCCAGAGCAGCGGACAACGCTGTTCTGAAGATGGCACCCGAACCCGCATGGCCAAAGCATGTCCGACCCTCCTATAAAGCTCGGAATGCTGGGTCTTTCTCGTTGCTCGACCCACCCTCGCCCGCCTGTATTATTCCGCAACCCATCCTCTTAGTCTATCCTCTGGATAATTATACCTAACAATGGCTGCCGTAGCATTTGCCTCGATGCCCGTATATCCTTCGGATAAGGCAGCGGTTGAACATGTTTCGGTTGTTGATCTCAACGATACCACACCAAACCCTCGCCGGTTTGCACTGGCGCGGATACGAGGAGAGGTGCAGCTTGTGGAAGGTACGCATCCGACGCCAGATGCAAAGCCTCTCCGAACTGACACGTTGACGTGAAGTGTCACAGCAGCTGCCAGGCTCGGCAGCGTCCGCTCTGGCAGTTGTGGACGTCGACATCTTCCGGCACGAGTTCATCTCGATATTCCGCTACTCGCACAGCACCTCGCTTCACCCCTCCGACATACACATCATCGAACCTATTGCCCCAGAACACGTCCTCTACGAAGAGGAGAACGGAACAGCATTTTTAGCAAAGAACGTTATGGAGCGGTTAAGAAGTGCAACCGAACGGCACAGGCCCATGCCACCACGTCGCCCGAGCAACTTCAGGCGGCCAAAATACCTACAATGAAGATACCACGGCCGGTTAGAGGGGGAGGGATGAAGTGTTGTCCGTGCTGTATTTCTAGGGGTGATTATACACTACGTATAAATAATGGTTGTATTTATTCTTTCATTCAACGTTCTGGTAAGTCGTCTTGGGCTGAAAAGAGAGAACATGTGCTGACCTCGTCCGGCAGTCCATCTCTGTACAAATCAAAAGATATCTGACCGACAAAGGGGGCATGTCGAAGAGTGACTCGTGTTAAACCACTGATGGCATGCTTAGTCTTCAAGTCACAATCTGCCCAGCATACATCACACACCTTGTATAGACAAGTAGAATGGAATCGATTCTTGCAGGTTTTGCACGGTTTCTTCGGTAGACTGTAGTCCATCGGACTGATAATACTGTACCACTGCGTCAACTCCACTTCCATAGGCGCGAGGAAGCACCACCACTCACGAATAGCAAATCGCGCATTCGACCTGACCCTCAAAGTGGAGGCTGACATTCCTCTTGAAGAGGCTGAGGCCGTCCACGATGGAGCCATTCTGACAGGAAATGTCAGCGGATCACTTACAGAATATTGTGTCCATGACCGAAGTTATACCGACCTGCGTCCACATAATCTGTTGCACACCGAGCACCCACGCCCGCCATCTGTTCTCTTCTACGCCTACCTTCTTGGAGTCCCTTACCTGAACTGGGTGCAAGGGCCAGTCTGCCGGTAACTTCAGAGAAATCTCCAATTGGTGCTCGTCCACAGCCCAGGACGCCGTTATCTCGTTAACAGTGCCAGCGACCTTGATTGCCAAGTTCTCGTGCTCTAACTCAGAGGCAGCGTCGGGAGACTTGACCCGAGCAAACTCCGTGGCAATGATGACTGGAGAGTAATGTTGGGCGGTGAACGTGGTGACCGTCGTAGAAAGGGTGCGGTCCTTGCAATCTTGGAGCCAGGCACGGATGAGGGAGGGAATAATCAGCAGGCCACGGTAATACAGGTGCGCGGCTTGCAGAGCTGCACTGACTGGGACGTCCGGATCGTACACTGGGCGAAGGGCCTATTTGAGGCTGTGCAAGGAGCAACGCATCAGGTGTCTACTTACGTGAAACATGGTACTCGTCAACCGCCCAAACGTCCAGCTTGAAGGTCGAGCGAGGGCCACCATAGAGGCCTAACGCATTGAAGATGTAGGGCAAGAACCTTGTCGATATGAGATCCAGGTCTCTCAGATGTTGAATATATCCAGATTTGACTTTGAAAGACTAACCTCGGAATGTCAGCGAACGTAGACGGGTGACCAGGCATGATTACACACCGCGTTCGAGAAGAGGTCGAAGACGGCCATCCATGCCAAGAAATACCCAAATGGATCCTACAAAACATTAGAAAACGCGCTCCATGCGATGGTCACGACAAACCTGAGGTATATCGTCTGGATCGTCGTCCGAGATGGATCGCTGAAGGATATCTACCAGCTCCATGGGGAGCTCGCATTTGACGTTAGCCTCTGTATCAACTCCTGCTTCAATGACGAGGTTTTCCGTGTACTTCCTACTAGACTCCTGCAGCAAGTGATACGCCATTTTCTGCGTTTCTGATGACGTATTGACGATGAGGCGACACATCTGGCGAGAGCATTAACGATAGCCCCGGCTTGGAGCACAGGCGAGATACTCACCGAAGGTAGAATCTTCGCGTCGTGTAGGGAATCAGGCATATCTTGGACGATTGACATCGCCAACTCCAGAGACATTAACTGAGGGGTGGAAGGGGCCCGTGAACCTGATGCTCGTTAGAACATGAAAAATGCCCGTAACGATTCACTAACTCTCGCGTGACGCTATTAGGTCTCTGACCAACGTCAGGACAGCCTGCCGCCGCTCGTCCCATAGGGCGCGGAGCGACTTGTTGGTCGTCGCTATATCTTGGATGGCGATGATGAGCCTGAATGTACGCGCCAGAGTCACAAGAGTGGAATTCTCGTTGAAGGAGCCGTTCTCAAAGTCGATAGAATGAGGATGGGTGGAGATCACAGAGCGTGCGTGAGGCTTACCTCAAGGTTATTCTCTATGACATCAAAAATGAAGTCCCAGTGGCCTCCAGGAACGTCTTGCAAGATCGGCACCAGGTGGTAGAATATCAGCGTCATCGCGCTCTCGACATCCTCCGAAATATCCTCGTCAGATTCGACCCACTGCTGACAGGCTTTCATGAGGTTGATAGCCCTCGGCTGAGGGAGGAATACCACGTCCGACTCCGGATCGGGAGCAGTAGCCGCGAGTCTCAGTAGACTCAAGAGCCCTTCGTCGTTGGCCTTCGAAGCAGGTACACCGAAAATTCCCGCAGCTAGCTCATTCCTGTAGCGATCTAACCGTGGTGGCTCAGGTCCGAACGCAGTCACGCAGGACACGAGAGCTATCGAGGTCAACGGCGCCTTCTTCTCGAGTTTCCGAGCTAGCATTATCCATTCGTCTGCTTCTTCCTTAGTTGCACCGCTCATGACGGTCTGGAGCGCGGCATACAGGACACGCGCCTCTCGTGGGTTGTCGTGCCCGGAAGCATACTGGATGAGATGCGCGGTGAGAGTGGACGGGGTACTTCGTTCGATAGCTGGATCTTGGGCGGCGTTGACGATCTTTGAATGCCACCCGTCTTCCGCATCCGGGACGAGGAGGTACGCAGTGATTGACTGCACTCTAGACACAAAGGCTTGCAGCTTTGCTCTAGACACCTTGCGGGTACACAGTGGGTTACGCTCCAAGGAAAGTTGAACCTGGTCTTCGGCATAGACGCTTGCCGCCAAAAGATGTTGCAGAGCCCAGATATGCTCTTTGGCTGCTTGACGATCCGAGGCAAACACCCGAGCAAACGCAGTCGTAACTCTCCCGTACTGTGAATACCCCTCGGAATCATACTCGGGCGTCCAGGTGACGCGGTCGCCCAGAAGAGATGCAGGAGGAATGAGATTGTTGACAACTGCGGCGCTCGGGTCCTCAGGATATGTAGGTAGGCCTTCGAGCATCCGGAGCATGGTCCCCGAGTCCGGTAATACATCAGCGGCTTGAATGTCTAGCCCCGGGATACCATCCCACAGCACATCCAGGACACTGTCCGGCCTAGTGCAAAAAGCAAATGCGCATTTCAGAGTCTCAGCCAACCCACTAAGCAATGGACTCACGTCACCGCAACCTGCGTATCCAAAATAATATCGCGCAACTTGCCAACCAGCGCAGCTTGGGTATCCGAGCGTGACTCCTCTGTACTTTGGCCCCACCATCCATTCCACAGATCCCTCGCTTTCTCAAAGTATGCCTCACCCTTGGACGAAGAGAACGTCGGAAGCACATACGCGAACAGACAGAGATCAGGCAGCAACCCCACCCCAAGCGTCGATGACGACAACACCGCAGGATCCCCCGCCAACGCCGCCTCCAGCAACCCCAGCAAATTCTCAAACGCCTGCGTGTACGCCGCGGCCGCGGGATCTCTCAGCGCCTGCTGTACGTGCACACCGAACGTCGCCACCAAACCCTCAACCAGCCCGACACGCGCGGCGCTCGACAAGAAGTACTCTGCCATCCCACCCCCACCGCTCAGTCAGTATCACCATCCAGCCAATACAACCAATGAAGGATTGAGAGCTCACGAGGGTTGCGCAATACCGAACACACCACGCCCGCCGCCTCCGAATCCACGCTCCCCCCCGACGCGTGCGCCACCAACCGCGTGAGCGGCTCGTCCAGCTCGCCGTCCTCCGGGGCGCAGTAGCACGGGAGCGCGCCGGCCCTGGCGAAGGGCGCGATGCGCGTAGCCAGCTCGCGCGGGTCCTTGCCGGAGAGCACGTCCAGAATCCTACGCCAGATTTCCAGGGCGCGTGCTTGATCGTTCCGGTGGGTGAGGTACGCGAGGAGCAGCGAGGGCGCAGCGTCGACGAGCTGCGCGACATTCGCCTGGACAGTCTCGTCGATCGCCTGCAAGGCAAAAATTCAACACACCGAGGCTTCCGATGGTAGACACACCGCCCACATACAGCAGTCAACTCCTCATCACCAACCACCGCCTCGCCCAAAACACGCAGCACAACCTCCAACGCAAACTCGCCCTCTCCCTCCCCCTCGCCCTCCTTCCCCGCCAACCTAGCCTGCACCTCCCCCACCGCGCGCCGCGCAACCTCCCCAATCGCCCTCCGCGCCGCCGCCCGCGCCTCACTGCCCTCCCCGAACGTCTCCCAAAACGCCTTCAGGGCACCACACGCGAACCGCGCGCCCACGCGGGCGAGGGTAGCGTCGACCGGCGCCCACGCGGCCCTGAACAGTTCTGAGCGCCCGCGGGCGGGTTCAGCACACGACCGCCAAAGACGAGGAACCAGGGACCGAGAAAAATCGCACCTATATCAACGCCCTCGAGCGCCTCCAGGTGCCTCCCCACCAGCGCCCCCGCCCCCGCCCCCGCCCCCTCCACCCTCAACCCGCCTCCCGCCAGCGCCTCCATCACTCTCGCAGATTGCTCCCCCACCAGCCACCTACGCACTTCATGCGCATCCACATTCGCATCGCGGAATGCGGGATCCTGTCTGATGCGCCGGACGAGGAACGCGGTGCACTCGAGGAGAGATGAGAGGAACGCCCTGTGCGCGGCGGCTTTGTCCAGCCCGCCGAGCGCGCGCGCGTCGACTGCCGCCCAAAAGGACGTGAACAGATCCTTCAGTGCGTCTTCTACGGTAGGCGTACTCAGGAACTGCACACACACGCGAACACAAAACGCAGGGAATCAGCGGGATAATATATGGAGGAAGGGAGAGAGGGGAGGGGGACGCACGGAAGCGGGCAGCGTGGAGAGCACGATGACGACCGTCGGGTAGCCCTGCAGCGGCGAGCCCGCGCAGCCGAGCTGGAGGAACTGCAGGAACTCGTCGTACGCTAGCGACGTGCCCGGCGTGGTGGGAGCGGGGCCGGGGGTGCCCTGCTCCCTGTCCCCGTCCTCCTCGTCGCTGTGATCCCCGTCGGATTCGGACGCATCGTCGGCGGCGGTCTTGGAGCCATCGACCGTCCACGCTTGCGGGAACTCTGAGCGGGGGTGCGAGTCAGGGTTAGGGTGCACGCAAACATGGATATTAGGAATACAGAGAGAAGGGGGGAGGAGCGAACCTTTGAGGAACATCATGAGCGGCTGCCACATCACCGTCCTCACCGTCGGGTCCGGCTCCACCCACGCGGACCTCAGCACGACCGTACTCAGCACGCCCAGCAAGTCCGCGTTCTTCACCTCCTCTACAGTCCATACCCGTCAGCCCCGTGTCCACACGGATGCGGGTGAAGGAACGCACCTGCCCAGTGCCCTACCAGGGCCTGCACGAGCGCCCACGCCGCCCGCCGCACGACCGGCTGGCCGCACCCAAAACTCGGCACGTCGACCCACGGCGCCGCGCGCGCGTGAGACAGTGAAGTCCAGAGGGCGGGGTTGCCTAGGATCTCCGCGAGGCCTTTCAGCGACTTCGCGCCCTCCACGTTATTCGCATTCCGCGCGTCTCCGGGAGGAGGCACTCTCAGCAATCCCCTTGACACCACTTTCATTAAACGAATCAGACGCTCACCTAGCACCCACTTCAGACCCCCCAGCGCGCCGACGCGCAGCCGCGCATTGCGGTCGTCCTCGCTCTCCTCCTCGTCCTCGGTCTTCGCCCTCACCGGCTCCTCCTCCCGCCTCTTCGGTGGGGCCTTCCGCCCCGGGACGCCGGGCTCCACGCTCACCTGCGGCGGGTTGAGGGAGAGGTAGACCGCGCCCGGGTCGAGCGCGGTGCGCTGCAGCATGCGCAGCAGCGCGCTCTCATCCAGCGCCAACCTATCGGAATCGGAATCGGTATTGGAATGAGACGCACTTGGCGGGGCAAGGGAAACAAAGTCCTCCCAGGACGCGCGCGCGTGCCGCGCGACGAGCCGGTCGGCGTCGCTGCCGGCCATGCACCACGCGCCGAGCACGCACTCGGCCTGGTCGGGCGGGGCGGCGTCGGCGAGGAAGGTGAGGAGCGCGGCGCGCGCGTCCGGGATGCGCAGGAGCGAGGAGTGGACGCTGGCTGCGAGCAGCCGGATGCGGCGCGAGGGGTGGAGGAAGAGCGCGGGCATGTGGTGGACCTTTGTGCGATGCCATTGCGATGCAAGAAACTTGGATTCAACCTCGAGATAGTGTGGATACAAGCCGCGGCACGCACCCACACCGGCAGCATGAGCACGAGCGTCGCCGCCACCGCGCCCTCATCCCGGGTCCCGAGCGCCCTCTCCACCCACGCGCCGAGCAGCTCCTCGAGCGCCTTGGCCTTTGTGACCGCGTCCTTCTTCCTTAGACTGCGCAGGACGACGAGGAGCTCCGGCGGGAGCTGGTTGGCGAGCCCGAGGGTGTCGAGCGGGTCGGGGCGCGCGGGCGCGGGCTTGGTCGGGGGGATGTACACTTTCTTGCGCGGCTCCTTGTTCTTGCCCTTGCCCTTGCCCGTGCCCTTGTCTCGCTTGTCTTTGGTCGGGGTGGGCTCCTGCGGGCCTGCGGCTTTGCGTGCGTGTTTCTTGCGAGTGCCGGAGGAGGCAGAGGATTTCTGGCCCTTGCCCATGGCCGGTTGTGAAGTGGTAGTAGAGCAAACAGCAGAGGAGAACCAATGTCACAAGGCAGAGTCGAATCAAGACAAATCTCGAGCGCGTTAGAGAGCGACGTCACTGACTCTCACGACAGCGCGTCCGGAGTTGGCCGGTCCGGTCGGACAGTTTGCCAGGACCCCTGAAAATACCGATAGATGCCGGTGCTAGTCCGGACAAAAATCGCGGTCTCGAGCCCTCCATGCCAGACGCCATCCGGACAAGGATGGACGACCGAACCGGCCATCCCGGTTTTACAGTCCGGACACCGGTCATGACCGAGCTCCCATGCCGGTTACAGTCCGGACACGGCTGTGTGGCAAGTTGGCAACGGACTGGCCGAATGTATTTACCCTTTGTATTACATGTATTTTAACCCAATTATGGCTGAGGTTTGTCCCAACCTGTCATTGTGTACCGTCGCGTAGCCTCGTGTAGCCCTTATTTGCACTGTGATATATAGTTTCTAGTATGTAGCACAATGGGCTCCGATGTCCAGTGGCTGAATGTGGCTGAGATCAGTACGCTGTGTCGTCAAAGTTTCCCTACACCATCACCACTTTACATGACTCTGGAAGCATGGACGACGCCCACAATACTTAACGTGTGCGCTTCGAGCTCGTTCATATGGGGTACAGCAGTCTCAGCGGGATTCACATTAGGGCGTGGCAGACGTTGACCTCATCACGATCACTCACAGCCTGAGCTCAGGCCTTGCCACCTTCAGCAACATATATGCAGCAAGCACGGACGCTGCTGACAACTACTCGCGAACGACTGCCGCACCCGAAACTCTCTCTGATGCTTTTGGCGCACGCGATGTACCAACGGAATCCCTAACCCGCACATGACGGCTCCCGGCCCGGGGCCGCCCATATCTCCCTTGCATCTCATCCTGAAATACCCCTCCGTCGGCCACCCGCCCGTCCCTTCCTCCCTTCTCCCCTCCATTCCAAAATCACCGCGAGCAAGATTTCTGGAGAGCCATGTCCGCCGAGCCAGCGTCAGCGTCAGCACCCATGCACCGTCTGACCTCGCTCGCATCTCACCTCAGGCCTCCCACCAGCACCAGTCGCATGAAGGTCGTCGTCTGCCGCGACCTGGGCCCGGACGTGATGCCCCTCCTCCGCGCGCGCACGGAGCTCGACGTGAGTACCTGGAACGGCGTCGCACGGCGCACGCGGTGACGGTCTGTACGTAGGTCGTCGTCTGGCCGGAGGACCGCGCGTGCGAGCGCGCGTGGCTGCTCGAGCACGTACCGGGGGCGGCGGGCGTGCTGGTGATGCTCTCGGACAAGGTACTTCCCTCCTCCTGCCCCGTCCACTCGCGTCTCATGCACCCTCACCCCACCAGGTGAACGAGGAATTACTCGATAAAGGCGCGTCGTAGCTGCCGCGCTTTCGCGGGGATGTTGACGGGCGTGCAGCTGGTCCCACTTTGAAGGTGGTGTCTACGATGTCGGTTGGCTACGGTGCGCCCCTGCCCACCTCCCTCTCGTACCTTTTTCCTCACCGCCCCACACACAGAACACGTCGACCTCCCCGCCCTCGCCGCGCGCAACGTCCGGCTGGGGTACACGCCCGACGTGCTCACCGACGCAGGTGACCATTCCTCCCTCTCCCGTTCCCCACTCCCGCTAGTACACCAAGCTGAAATGCAAATGATGTGTGGACAGTCGCGGACGTATCGGTGATGCTCGCGCTGATGGCGGGCCGGAACGCGAAGGAGACGATGGGCGTCGTGCAGCGGGGGGAGGTGCGTCCCTTACTCGTTCCCCCCATTCCCTCACTCCCCCTCCCATCGCCATCCCCCACCCCGCTAACCCCACCCCAGTGGCCCAACACCTCCTGGTCCCCCTTCTCCTTCTGCGGCCCGCAGCTCTCCCGCCCGTCCCCCTCCAGCACCCGCACCGCGGGCTTCATCGGCTTCGGGCGCATCGCGCGCGCCACGCTCGCGCGCCTCGTGCCCTTCGGGATCACGCACGCGCTGTACACCACCTCCCCCGGCTCCGCGCCGAGCCCCGCGCAGGACGCGCAGTACACCCGCCAATTCAGCCTCACGTCCGTCCGGCGCGCGGGCAGCCTCGCCGCGCTCGCGCGCGGCAGCGACGTCGTCTTCGTGCTCGCGCCGGGCGGCGCGGCGACGCGCCACGTCGTCGACGAGCGCTTCCTGCGGCAGATGAAGCGCACGGCGGTGCTCGTGAACACCGCGCGCGGGACGCTCGTCGACGCGCACGCGCTCGCGCGCGCGCTGCGCGAGGGGTGGCTGTGGGGCGCGGGCGTGGACGTCGTCGAGGGCGAGCCGGCGGTGGGGAGCGCGCACCCGCTCGTGCAGGAGCCCCGGTGAGTGATGAGCGCGGGTGGGCGGGGACTGCGGACTGATGGTCCGACAGGTGCGTCGTCCTCCCGCACATCGGGAGCGCGACGACGGAGACGCGGCTCGGCATGGCGACGCTCGCGGCCAACAATCTGCTCGCGGGCGTGTTCGGCGAGGCGATGCAGGCCGAGTTGGACTTGAAAGGGAGGACTTGAGAAGAAACACTGAGGGGTATAGAATGTACTTGCATAGGACCGGTGGTTGGGTGACGCTATTTTTGTGACAAAACGACGGTATACAAATTTGTTGTTGGCTGTGTAGCCTACGCTTTATGGCAGCCTGCCATGCTCAATTGTGGGTGTCAGCGTCAACAGACTGACCCGGACCCGAGGCATGCCGACGCGAATACAGGCAGGAACGGGGATACCACCGCTGCCAGTGCCGTGTGCTCAAGGGAACCAGAATCGAAACGTGCCACAACCCAATCCAACATCATCATTAACGCCATGCTCCCGGGAACACAGCGGATAGAGGTACAACCACATCGAGTCGAAAACAGCTTGACAGCCATACCAGTACTCTTCATGACACCGAAGCCCTCAAGTTCACTCGAGGTCGCCCAAAGCGTACGCCCTAGCCTGCCGCGATCCCTGAAGCGACACAAACATCAGTCTCACCCGTCCGTTCGAGGTGGACAGACAACTCACCCAAGCCCGCGCCTGTTTCCCGGCCTTGCCCTTCTTCGCCGAGGCCTGGTTCCCCACCGCCGCCGCCGCCGCCGCCGCACCCCCCTGCTTGACCGCCACGCAGTTCCCGAATCCCCCGGCGGTCGTGAACGACACGAGGCACGTATCCTTATTCGGGCCGCCCGCGCACTTGGTGTTGGCTGGCACCTGCACCTCGAGCTGCTGCGAGCCCGTCGTGGCGGGGGACTTGTCGCCGTTCTTGGTCACCGTGGCGGCGACGAAAGACTTGCCGGTGCCGGCTGCGTCGATCTTGGCCGTCACTTGGCGGGAGCCGTCCGTGCCACTACGTTTTTATCAATGACACGACCGCGCACCGAAATAAAAGGAATAGGGGGGGGGGGAGGCGTACCCGTTGAAGTTCGTGATGGTGGCGGCGAAGGTGGTGCCGGACATCGTGACGGCGGCGGACGTGCCCAGCGCCTGCGCGACGTTCACGTTCCCGCAGGGACTCTGCGCGCTGGGCCGCTGGACGTCGCTGCGCGCGGGCGTGCCCTTGACGCCGAGCGCGGGGGCGATGGCCGCGTGCGCGCTGACCTGGAGCGCGAGCGAGGCGGCGAGGAGGGAGGCGAGGAGGGGCTTGGCGAACATGGTAAAGCTGGAGGGAGGGGTGCTGGCAAAGAGGGCAGAAGGTGAACGTAAAGTGTCAAGCGAACGACTAGGTGCGTTGCAGAGGATCCGGCCTCAGATGTGGAAAGGGAATGGAGGGCTGCGAGCGGGCGGGCGGGGTTTTATACGTCGCATGTGCCATCTGAAGCTAACCCGGTGAGTGTACTGTATTGTGCAGACGCAGGACGCCCTGGCAACGGGCAGGGTGATTCCCTGTTGCAGGTGCCTGGCCATCGTGATTGGCTGATGTTGCCAAAGTGCGTCAGATGGGGGTGTCTGTGCTGGGCCAATCAGAGCGGGTCCTTGGCGGGGAAGGGGAACGGCCTATCAGATTGTGTTGAGCCGGCGGTCGATGCGATGCGAGGAGAACAACTCGGAGCTGACAGCCGTTTGCAGATTGATGGGCCCACTTTCCAAAAATCACTTACAGTCGGACCACGTCGGACAAGCAATTGTAAGTCCCCGAGAGACGGAAATCAAACCATCTGGACTTCCCCACCTTCCTCCGACGTCCCTGGCACCCACTCCGACCCACTCCGACTATACGCGATTTTCTGAATTGGTGGTCTATCGATCTGCAAACGGCTGGAAGCTATGCTTTTGTGACTGCGTCATTCTACGAGTCCCTACCGACTGTTACGGAATGAGTGTAGGAGTGTTCCGATTCCCCTAGAATCGGTTTACTGTTCAGTCGTTGTATAGGGCTCTCTGGTGATCGAAAATTGCCAGCGTTGAACAGGGGGTATACCCCTTATAGCCCAAATTACCTTAACTGTAACGGGAGCACCCTCCTTAAATGGAAGGTCCACCGATCCAAATCTTACCACCATCAGCAAATAGGAGCTATTACCTCTCATGTCAATAATTACCGTTTGTGAATAGGGACTAATTCCAGATATGTAGTGTGGTCTCTGCACGGCACGATCCTTGCAAGATCTCGGGCCAATGGCACTGTCAGGCATCCCCCGGCTGTGTGTGGAATTGCGCCAATGGCAAGTACCCTGCTGCCTATGGCACAAGATTGGTAAGTTACATACGAGGCATAGTACTGGCAGCATTGAGGCCTCAGCCTGACGACGTGCATCTCAGCTACAGTATGCATGTGCACTGACTCAGTGACTCGATAGTAATGCTACCCGAGTGTAGTACTGATGTAAATAGTGTATTGTGTATTGAAATAACTGTACTTGACACCGAGTATAGGATGATTGAAGGTTCTAGCCACACACAGTTATGTTTGAGAGTTACAAACTTATATGATTTAGTATCACTGAGATCAACATATAATAACTAGGAGTATTCTTGATGCCGCGCAGTGCCCGGGAGGCTAGAAAGACTATTTACCTACTTGTAGAACCCTTGCCACTCGTTTACCTTGCGAGGAATCGGACCTGGCGTGCCGCGCAGCGCCGAATACTTCCCAAGTTCTATTTTTAGCTTCCGAGAAGGAAGGTGCAGTGTCGTACATACCACAGCGGGCAGTTCACCTCATTCCCCGTACGCCACCTCGAAGATGCTCTGGCGTCTCTGGGCGAGCCCCAACGGGATCAACCGTGTCCGTACTCTCCCTCCTCCGCCGCACCACCACGCACTGACACACTCTGCGCAGTAGTACAAGCACGGCCAGGAGTCGTGGGCGCTCGTCACCGGCGCGTCTGACGGCATCGGCAAGGCGTGCGTCCCCTTCCTCCCCGCCTCATCCGTCCCTCCTGACCCCCGACGCGTCCCCCCTTACCAGCGTAGCAAAAGCCCTCGCGCAAAAAGGCTTCCACGTCCTCCTGCACGGGCGCAACCCCACGAAACTCACCGCCGTCCGATCCGAGCTCGCCGCCGAGTGCCCGAACGCGCAGTTCGAAATCGTCGTCGCGGACGCGACCAAGTCCGCGCTGGCGCGCGAGGTTGCGGAGGCGTGTAAGGGCCGGACCGTGACGATCCTGGTGAACAACGCGGGGTATACGAGCACGCTGATACAGCCGCTGGAGACGCAGGACTACGACGGTAAGGACCCGCTCTCACTCACTCGGTCGCGTACTGTCCCGTTGAGAGGTGAACTGATTGGTATGGCATGGTATAGCGGTACAAAGAGGCATCGACATCGGGTGCAGCTGGACGACGCAGCTCACGCGCGCGCTCCTCCCGCAGCTGCGCGCGGACGCGCCCGCCGCGGTCGTCAACGTCGGGAGCTACGTCGCCAGGCACCCCCCGCCGTTCCTCGCGGTGTACGCGGGGACGAAGGGGTACATGCTCGTGCGTCCCCCTTTCTTCTTCCCTCTTCCCACTACCCCCTCACTCCCTGTTCCCCAACCTGAACGGTGTCGGACAGGCCTTCTCCCGCGCCCTCCGCACCGAACTCGCCCTCCTCTCCCCCTCACCCATTTCCGTGCAATACCACGAAATCCACTCCGTCGCGACCAAGGCGAACGGCTCGCCCGTCTCGCTCGCCGCGCCGCACCCCGACGTCATGGCCAGAGCCATCATAGTCGCGATCGGGCGGGACAAGGAGTATGTGACGCCGTACTGGGTGCACGAGCTCACGAGCTGGGTGTTGCGGGTGTTGCCGGAGCGCGTGGTGGCGAGGATGGCCGGGGGGATTTTGCAGGGGCAGAGGACGGATATCAAGAGGGGGGAGGGAGAGGAGGCAGGCGGAGTAGGGGAGTAGGGATGGGATGGCGCGGAGGCCGTTTTCTTGACGCTGCGTGGGTAGGTACTCCGTTTCGTGGACGTTGCATCACATGTACCTACTGCCATTCCGGTACATGCAGACCTTCTTTCGCAGCGTACATCGCATGTTATCCTCCCACCCCGGAGGCCAGGCCTCGGTACGTCCTCAAACCCACCCGTGCTTCAGATCCTCCGAAAGCTGCGCCCCCGCAGCACAAGCACGCGGCATCCCTCGAGCGACATTCCACCTCCCCCCGCGAGACGCCGAGGACTGCTGCGACACGCAGCGGCTAGCGCTTCCTGCACGCACACCTTGGCCAGCCGAGAACGAGCGCAGGCAGCGATATCACCGCCAGCAACCGCCACATCCACCAACCACGATACCGCTCCGCTCACTCACCCGCCCGCACCAAACAGCGGCAGCGCGTCCGCGAGTGTCCCCCCGAAACTCCTCTTCTCGCTAAAACAGGTTCGCAAACGAGGGCACCAAGTACGAGTACGAGTCACCCACTGCGGATAGGAAGGAGCAGACAAGACGGACGCAGGCGGGGGATATACCCCGCCCCTGATCAGCCGGACGGCTCGATGCTGCCCTCGATATCTCCGCCAGCGAGCGCCCGCCCGCCGCTCGGCGGCATCGTCGTTACCGCGGCGACAGTGCGCCCGGGACACGGCACTTGGTATCAGACGCACGTCGCGACTCCTCTGCATGGGATCCACGAGCAGATGGGCGGGCGGGCGGGGATGGGGAGGGGACTCACGTCGTCTGCCTGCGCCGGCTCGGCCAGGGCCAGCGTGCGGTGTGCGTCACGGGGAGGGCGTGAGGGCGCGAGCGCGTCAGCTCCTCCGGGGCGAGGCCCGCGAGCGTGGTGTCCACGTCTCGCCTGGCCGTCGTCGGGCGCGAGGGTCTGTGCGAGCACTCTTTCCGACTCCACTCACCGAATGGGAGCGCTGGAGCCGTAATGCGAGTGAGACACAGATCGCCTCTCGAAGGGGGGGGGGGGTGGACTGACAAAAACGGGGACTCGGGGGTGCGGAAAATGGGGACTCGGGGGACGAGCCAGCGGGTGCGACTGGAGAGAGGTGACCCGGGGCGCGGCGGCTGGGGCTGTCCAGCAAGTGTGTCAGTGTGCCAGCAGCCGGGGGAGATGCAGGGACTTACGCTGCGGTCGCCGTGCTCGGGCCGGACCCGAGGGCGTCGTGGAAGATGTCGCACCTTCGGGCCCAACTCCTCGATTGTGCCCGCTACGCCTCTGCGCCGCGCCCCGGGAAAGCATATGATCAAACATCAAGGTATCAAGGTTCAGGTTAAGCAGAAAAGAATCGGAGACAAGTGTGAGCGTGTGTCTATCCGCCAGGGAGATATTTGTGACTCACGATCCGGCCGAACTGGGTACGTGGTCATGGCCGTGTGAGTAAGGATCAGGCTAGCTGAACCTACTTTCCCGTATTTCTGCGGGAGTTCCTCGTGCATCTGGCGGAGCTCGGCCCATGTTGCAGGGCCGAGGCCGGGGGAGCGCCGGCTGGGACTAGCCAAAATGCGTGGTTAGTGTGCCACCTCTACGGGGGAAAGCATGGCGCGCCACGTACGCCACGGTCGCCGTGCCCGAGCCGTGTTCGAGCAGCGAATGGATACCGTCGACCACCTCGGGGCCGAGATCATTCACGACGTCAGCCATAACGCTCCGCACTTCTATGGAATACGAGAGAATGTGAGTCCAGAGGGAAGCGAGCACAAGCAAAAACGGCTGACAGTGGTTGTATACAATTGACATCATGATCATAATCGCCAGGGCCGCATATGGGTAGCTCAGTCGGAGGAATGACGGTTGTCCCATCGATCATCTTGCGCTCAGGCTTTACGCGCCTACGCTGAGGTCTAATCCATAGCGACGAGTCATAATTAACGCGGACATAGAGGACAGTTGGCGCGGATACATACGATGTAGTAGGTGGGGCGCTCGCATCGGAGGTGCTCGAATCAGAGCCGAAGGCCTTCTCCGCGAGTTTGTTAGCAATTGGCTCGAGGGCCTTTGCCACGTCCGGGCCGGACTTCTCTGCCACTTTCCCTATGGTGCTCGCAACGCTCCTCCGCTGAGGTCTGATGACTTTCGTATATTCAGTACATGGGGCTCCAGTCATAGCCTTCGTGAGCCTACCCGTTTGCCTGCCCATCAATCAAGAAAGGGGGGATGGTTGGACTCGGAATCGAGCCGACGGAGGGGATGGAGGGGGCGAAGCGAAACGCGGACGAATGTCTGTTGCGAGAAGCTTGATGGACAGCCATTCCTAGAATACCTAATCGTAATGCTCACGATGCGATAGCGGATGCACTGGAGGCAGCCGTGGTGGTCGCTTGAGGGATGGCAGAGGGAGGAAGAACGACGCGAGGTCCGGAGTCCGGACGCGCGATATCTGGCCTGCGCAGATGTCTGGAATCAGCTATTGAGTTCAAATAGAACAGGACGTACAGCTTGACGGGGATGTGGGACACTCCGCTGCTCAGATGTTTCAGTGCATGGCATCCAATGCCGGCGGTCACGAACTCACATTTCGCGTTTAGTACTTCCCGAATTGGGCCCGCCAAAGAGCTCCGATGCGATGAACTTGAGCCCGTCTTGGAGGCCGTCTTCAAAGGCAGTGCCGATGACTGCAGTACGGGCTGGCGCTGTCGGGCACCCTGAGTCAACGCTTAGTTAGTGACAGATATGACACGCACACAGGAGCCGCAGTAGCTCTAGTTTCTCGGATATCTGGAAGTAATTCAAGAGGTGTCAATGAAGGCGTGTCGAGGAGGTGAGAAGAACAGTAAATCCTGTTAGTCCTGAGCCCATAGCTTACGACAGAGCCAGGGAAGTCGTAAGAGTAGCTGTGGTCGTCGTTCGAGTGGATTCGAAGCTTCCAGGAGGAAGTGCAAGTCCTGGACCCTGGTTCTGGCCCCGGAAACCTCTGCAGAGGAGCATGGATCCAGAGACTCTGTTCAGCTAGAGTAAGACGTACACTGCTCTCCGGGCTGTGTCGGGTACCGGAACTCCAAGGACAGGGGAAACTGCAAGGACGATAGTGGTGCAAATCATGGCAGCAATAGGTTTATTACTACGATCGTAGGTGGAGTCAGTATAACTAGCAGGTGAATATGGAGAAAACTCACTATATATTATCAGTGCTCAGCACCATGAAAGAGTCTATAGTGAACGCGAAGAAGACGTAAAGGCTGCGAGCGATCAGAAAGCGCGACCCAGCGTTGAATGACGCGTGCTTACTGTCCGGCACCGAAGCGAATGAATAGAACGAAGAAGGGAGCGAAGACCTGGTCCTCTCTGGAGCTGCAGAGAGGGTTCTGCCTGGCCTTTATACAGCGGGCCTGCCTAGTTGGCCCTACAATGGGACCCACAACACCAGCCTCGAGAGTGTAATTATAGTACACCACCTAATGGTCGGGCTGAGCATCAAGAAGATACGGGTATGAGATGAAGTCGGCCGAACGTCCCATGGTAGGGAGAGACAGCGATCGGCGAAGTGCTATCTTACGGAAGAAAAGATCATGATCAGTTCATGTCCGACTTCTGAAGGTTGCCATGATCTGAGAGGCTTCACTCGCAACATCCACACCGAAGAGGTAGGCATTGGCAGGTGCCGTAGCCTTGTTAAGAGCTCGCGTTGTAATTTTAGTAAACGCGCGAAAACCATTGTCTTTCACAGAGTAGTAAACGAGGTCAACGACGCTAGGCAATATAAACAGTGTATGTCGACTTGCAACCCTGACCTAGATTCTAGAGCAGGTCCAGATCCGGAAATTGAGTCGACTCGGATACAGGCTGAACTAGTAATCGCTATACGCCACCCGAGAATCGATTGTGTGGCGAATCTGCACCGAGGGCATAACGGAGTCCGGACATCATGAGCTGGAACGCTGTATGATATCGTCAGAGAAACGAGAAACTGAGGGTAAATGATGGGGAATCGGAAGCGCTGTTTGCATCATCACTGTAACATTGGCAGGGCTAGGCAGCTCGGGGAAGACATCGACTCGCAGCCCGAGTCCGAGTCCTCTCACTGGACTTGCGATACAGCGTAATGCAGGTGCTACGCACTGCAGCTGGCGAAATGACCACCGTGACCAGCTTGTTACATCGGAGAGCCCCCAATCTGTCGGAAAAGGCAAAGTACTAGTAGCAAATCATATTACCAATGGGAAAGGACGACTAGTGCCCGACCAGAGTCGACAGGTCTGAACAGTACCCATGCTCAGGCTCGATACACGAGCAGGTTTGGCGGACGAGAAGCAGACGGCAGAGTGGGATCGCTCAGGTCGCAATGGCATATTTGAGAAGCGTCATTTCAGCTCCGGTGCCGTCGCATTGAAGTAAGGAGCCCAGAGTACTTACTAGTACTTTCTGAATAAGGGGGTATCGGGAGAAAAGTTTTCATTTCAAGTTGTCATTGATATCACTTGCTACTATGGACTCGGATGCTCTTCCGGAGCATGGATGAACGACGCCCAGACCGTCAAAGAAAGAAATTGCGGAATCAGAGAACTGCTATGAAAAAGGGGAATCGGTGCGCTTCGTTCCCTCGTCATCTGTGCCGGAGAGGTAACAGGAGAGGAAACTGCATACTGCCATTAGTTGATCATAGCGGTACAAATATTCATCGACATGTGCACTATGTTCGCGTATAATAGTATTTTATTGCCCCCTTCTCACTCTTCCCCACCCAAGATGCCACCCAGGAGAGGCAGCAGATCCTCAGCCCCCTGCTTCAGATCCTTCCCCAAGCTACGACGAGACCTTAGCAGGAAGAAGAGACTTCCGATTTGCAAGCTTCCAGGTCATCTTCGAGTGATCGACGATCATTGCCAAAGGACGCAGGCTTTATGCTCCGACTGTAGGTGCGTAGGGAGGAATATTAGCGACAAGACACCGTAATAAGTAGGTGTAGTAACTTACAATATCCATGCATGTCCTTGCGTTGCGCTTCAAGAGAGGCCCGAGTAGCGGAGTCGAGGCGCCGGCTGGGACTATAGGAACAGATAGATGTAAGTAGGTGTCACAAGGTGGTGGTGAGGTGCTACGTACGCTGCCGTCGCTCGAGCCGCCGCTGAGCAGCGACTGGATGCCATCCACCACCTCCGGGCCGAACTTCTCCACGAGATCGCCCAAAATGCTAGCTGCGCTGCGCGCTTTCCTGACATCCGGCATGCACGCACGAATGAATATCAATGCGGAATGAATAAGAGAACACTGACAGTGCAGCAGTATCAGGGTTTGCACAGGGAATACCGCCAGTTCCACTTGCGATGGACGGTTCGATTCCCGGAGCGATTGCGGACCCTTCAAGTCCCTTGTCACCTAGGCTCCTTCGCTGGGGTCTGATACAGATACCATTTGTTTTGATTCAATGGACGAAGCAAAGGTCGGGATCTGGTACATACCGAGCAGTGGTTGAGCCGGCATCGGAAGTGCTGGACCCAGAGCCCAAGACATGCTCTGCCAGCTTGCTCGCCAGTGGTTCAAGGGCCTTCGCCACTTCCGGACCGTACTTCTCCGCTACCTTCCCTATCGTGCTCGCCACGCTCCTCCGGTGGGCCCTAGTACATGCCTCGATCAGCATGGACGAGAAAGAAAGGAGACACTGCTTACGGGGCTGCAGTAGGCTGAGCACTCGCATCAGAAGTGCTGGAACCAGAGCCAAAGGCCTTCTCAGCGAGATGACTCGCTACTGGCTCGAGGACCTTTGCCACGTCGGGACCGTACTTCTCTGCTACCTTAATCATCGTGCTCGCTACGCTCCTCCGCTGAGGCCTAAGAGCGGCAGATACTTCAGTATCGTCGCTATGGGTGAAGGGGGTGACCTAAACGTACGGTGTGGTAGGCTGCGCGCTCGCGTCAGAGGTGCTGTATCCAGAATCGAAGATATGCCCCGCGAGATCCGTTGCCAAGGGCCCGAGGGCCTCGACAGCTTTAGGTCCGTACTTCTTTGCTATTTTGAGCGCGTCGCTGGCCAAGCTTCGACGCTCTTTGTGGTCAGGACCCGATCTCCCGAAGAACTCCTGGGTAATAAACTGAAGCCCGTTTTTGAGACCCTCTTCAGTAGTGGTTCCAACGCTTCTGGCAGATCTATGGTGAATGACGCCAGAAATGCTCAGCTGACAAGAGCTGTAACACGAGATAATAAACATACACCGTCGCTGCTGTAGGCGTGGATGCTGTGCCTTCGAGCAGTGGCGGAGATAGATCCGTCGGCAGGTATTTGAGCTCAGGAGGGAAGATAACATGCCTGCGCGATGAGTAATGGTGTATAAGGATTCATGACATCCATGTATGTCCATAACAACTCATGAAGGGAAGGACGCGGATGCACTAGGAGTACTTGTGGAGGTCGTCTGAGGGACGCTAAAGTCTCCAGAAGGACCGAGAGCAGATCCCGGGAGTTCAGGGCCAGGAAGACTTCTGCATTTGGCATGAAACAAAATATCTGAGTCCGTGTAGAGCGAGGACGTACAATATGGTGGCGGGCAATTCGATGGGGTCGGGAGCCCCAAGAGCGGGCGAAATAACAAGAATCGAGGCAATGACGACGGTGAAAGAGACCATGGCAGTAGTAGGCTTATGACTAGATTTCCAGACGAGTCAGTATAACTCTTAGGCAGGACATACAGAAACTCACTCAATATTATCAGTGCTCGGCACGATGAAAAAGGTCTAGAGTGGAAGTGAAAAAGACGTGAAGGCTACGAGGGATCAGAAAGCGTTGACCAGTGCTAAGACGCGAGTGCTTACTGTCCGGCACCAGAAGCGAATGACTAGAATGAAGGAGGGAGCGAAGAGCTGCTTCTCGTGGCTCTTATACCTCGAAATACACGCGCTTGACACTCCGATGGGACCCACAATGCAAGCTGCGAGACGTAAATATAGCACTCGAGCTAGTGGCCGACCTCAGCTTCAAGGAGAGACGGGTTTCAGTCCAGCGCCCCATGCAGATTTCAGGTAGAGATGATGGGCCAGCTTCTCATGGAGAGAGAGATCAGTCCATGACCAGCTTAGCGCTCAAGGTTGTCGCGATCTGAGTTGATTTCAGTCCCATAAATGAAAGCCGGCGCGACTGGCAGGTGCAGTGATCCGAGGCAGTATTGGCCCAGTATAGAGGGAGAAACCCAGGACGACCTGCCAGGCTTATGTGAAGGAGATGTCAACTTGTAAATCTGGCACAGTGGTATGTAGATCGTAGAGAAGAGTTCTCTCTATGACCCACGAACCACCGGCTAGACACTGATGTCCCGGAAACCCGAGTCCACACGGATCGACTAAGGGTATGCGCCGCGCATAGGAGTCGGTGTCGTGTGGCGGACGGTGCCAGTGGCGACTCTACATCGCAGAGCAGACATCAAAATCAGAAAGCGAAGCACTTCCATAGACCGCCAGGAAAAGCAATGGTCTTCGGTGATCAGTACTGATAGAGATCCGAACGAGTTTTCCCTTACGCTGTTGGATGGGTCAATGAGACTATTAAGTCCCCTTATTAAGTCCCCTGGGCCATACGACAACAACCCGAAGCTGCAGCTGAAGCGCTTTCGGAACAAGCGCTAAGTGTGGGATTTGCATGGGAAACTAGATTTGAATGCTGAGCCGCGAAGTACTTCAGAGTTGTAGTACAACCGAATGAACTGAGTATACTGTATGATAGTATACAAGGACGCGAACTTGAAGTTGAAGCTGTGGCGGAGATAGAATCGGAAAAGATGGGAGTCCGCTAGGCTTGAAACTTCGCCTCTCAAATAAGACTTACAGTGCCTTGCATAAAAGTCCGGAAACCTTGTACCAGCCAAACAAACCTATATGGGGTAGTCGATCACCATAGTGCGGGCTGTTGACTGGTTGGCGGGACGCTTCGACATCCATGTATGAGGGTCGTTCTTGTGGGACTTTGACCTTTGCGTGCTCGATATGCTGAAGAGATACAGATCTGAGCGTTATTCAGCCTTGAGACGGGCATTTGTGTCCCAGTAGCGACATAGGCTGACTCGAGGAACCGTCGCGCCCTCGGTCAGGTGTTACCCTATAAGGTATTGTTTGGCTGGGACAAACAGAGACACGCGAAACGCAGTTTCCGGACTTTTATGCAAAGCACTGTAGTAGACGAGCAACTGTCTTATAAGGAGGCTTGTTAATTTTTAGTATTACCGCCGCAGAAGTCGGGAGGTTACGCATATGGTTGCTCGATATCAATATCGAGTGGCTGTGCCATTTCGTGGGACGAACCTACCAAACTCAACGAGTTATCGAGTGGCTGTGCCAGAGGCGCCACAACGGCTGCTGTGGCTCTCCCCGAGAACTCGATTTGTGCCTGCCATGACAGGTGTCGGACGAGCTCCCGTACGCGAGTACAATAGGTAAAATACCTGTGTATACTGTATACTTGAGACCATATATATGAATGTAGATGCGGCTTGATATCCATTACCCCAAATCATACCAACAGACCTTGATGTCCATGCAGAGTTTTTATGGAGCAGTGAATGCTGAGTGTTCAGCACTCAGCAGCAGTTAGACAGTTCACAGAAGTAGATTTACAGAATTATTTTTAATGAAATATCCTCTGCGCAGTTGGCCTGACTGGGTGTCACCACATTTACAGATATCCGCAGTAATTCAGACCTTGTAAGGCGGTGTGGAGGGGGGAAAGCGTGCAAACTACAGATTCAATGCTAAACCTCTTTTGTGGAATTGTGGGGGACTGGTGTTTGCTTTGAATGTTCGATATAAGAAGTCACTTGCCCCGGAGCACCCTAAATTGAGGAATTACAGTATTTTGGGCTTGAATTGCCTTCAGAAAATATGCATGGACTAGCTGTAGACTTTCTCATGGTTTCAGCTGCCATTTTATAGGAGATATATCTCAGAGAACGATGGACGGGTTGAGTATTAGTATGGCCCCGGAGGGGCCGGACAAATTCGATTTTAGTAGTATTTACACTCGGATTTTACGGTAAAACATGCAATCAGTCACTCACTAGCTGCTTTGTTCCTACTTCGGGGCTCTGAGGGCGATTTGTGGAGCATAGGCCCGAGAGTAACGCAGATTTCGGTCCCAAGGGCCTCAAAGCCACAACTGCCACATGGCTCTCTGAGCCAATCCCAATTTTTCTTTTTTCTTTTCTTTTTATTTATTTTATTGCAACTCTATCATTATCGAGCGCAGAGTCCCC